ATCATACCGCTCCAGACCACGGATGAACCAATAGGAACAGACACCAGCTAGCAGCAGACTCCATCACTGAAACCATCATACCGCCTCCAGACCACGGAGGAATCAATAGGAACAGACAATTAGCAGTAGACTTTATCACTGAAACCATCATACACTGCTCCAGACCATGGAGAAATCATCAATAGGAAATAGACATTAGCAGTAGACTTATCACTGAAACCATCATACCGCTCTAGACTACGGAGGAATCAATAGGAAATAGACAATTAGCAGTAGACTTATCACTGAAACTATCATACAGCCTAGACTATTGAAACGCCAGTCGAGACAGCAAGACGATCTGTAATGCATCAGCAAAGTTCTTCAATACTGTTACCATGGTTACATTATCGGAGTTGGATAAAGAAGTCACAACTTTCAGCGCCTGTAGTTTGGTATGGTGACCAGGGTCAATTGTGGTAGAGAATGATGCCTTACTAACCACTATGATAATATGATGTCCAAACAGACACTGGTCGATTAACGTATATGGCGAATAGACAATTTGTTGGATCAGTAGTCGACCAACTTGTACAGTAACTAGACAATTAGCTGGATTTCGTAATGTGTAATTATAAACTATCATTCATATTTCTTAGCAATAACCTCTTTCTAGAGGAAACGTCGAAAGATTCCTGACCAACAGTTCGTCAGACATTTTCAAGTTCTCACAGGCAAACAATAACTCTTAAACAATCTGTCCAATATAAACCAGGTATTCTTCATTGTCTCAAGAACATGGGTGACGAATACAGGACAACATCAATGTGTGATGAGCAACATCTGTTCCTGCTATCATGCCAGTGAGAGTTCCAGTACATCATGCATCACCATGGCAACAAGACAACAAAACACATACACATGCAAGCTCTTCAACTGGTCAGCCAAGGCAGGCCCATGCAACTATCACTGGAGTTTAGAGTGTTAGACTTGACTTTTATGTTCTATCATGATGCCACGACCCTTTCCAAAACTCATATATGTACTATGACTAGCTGCGCAATATAACCGGTTTTACCGGTATTTACTGGTTCAGACATGAAAACGATATGTATTGGCGCATATCGCCCGATCGAAAACCGGTATTTTGACTTCGAAAACTTCGAAACACTTCGAAAATCTTCAGATATGTCCTTGTTTCATTTGTGCCAAATATTATTCACACTTTTATTTTATCATGATTAAAAGTTTTTATTAAAGCTTAATCAAGCATAGTGCTTTTGTTGTGTTTTTGCTCTATAAATCAAGCATTAACTCGATTATAAGTAGTACACAATAAAAACTTCATGCAATACATATATTGCAATATACATGATTTCACATCGCAATATATCGCAATATGGAAATTCTCGCAATACCCACCCCTAACTATGACTAGAGCAAATCCATGCTCAGATTGTTGTATCGTTAAGTAGGGGTGAAACACTTTTACCATAGTACGGTTATAATGTATTGTGGTACTAGGCCTTCGGTTTGGTCCATTTCAGCTCGGCATATGAGATATGATCATAATCCAGAAAATTGACAAACCATAATCTTTGTTATTTTGAATGAACAAAACTGTCATTTATGACTAGATAGAAATGACAGTACGAAAACTGAAAATGCCAAATTTTCGGATTGCATTACGGTATACCAAATCGAAGTCAAAATACAGCTTTTCTACTAATACCACTATATCATTTCACCTGTCTTTAAGTTCACTTTTAGGAACATGTAGGTCCCTCAGCAGTTCATTTTCTTATTTTAAGGGCTATTTTTGGTTAATAGGTCAAACTAAATTCCCTTAAACAAATCAATGCAAACCAAAGATGTTTTAGATTTATTCACTGTTTTAATCTATGTCACTGATGATAACTAAGAGCAGATTTAAACATTGAAGTAAATGAAAAATATGATCTGTGTTTATCTGAGTGCTTCCAGTGTATCAATGAATATAGTAACCATGAATACAGTATCTTAGTATTGCATTGTGGGATATACTGTTTGCTTTCAACAAACAGAAGGAAAACCTTGTTCATGAAGACAGTTGTGTCAAAATCAGAAAATAAATACCTGTATTAAGCAGGTAGACATAAATAATTACTAAGGTTGTTTTCTTCTGGAGCTGGTAGACTAGATCAGACGAACGCATTGAACCCTCCACATGACTACTAGGGTTAGGTATTGCCAAAATTTTCATACTGCGATATATTGTGATATGTGTTGGCGTATTGCAATATGTATTGCGATATATTGTGATATGTGTTGGCGTATTGCAATATGTATTGCGATATATTGTGATATGTGTTGGCGTATTGCAATATGTATTGCGATATATTGTGATATGTGTTGGCGTATTGCAATATGTATTATGCGATATATTGTGATATGTGTTGGCGATTGTAATATGTATTACCATATATTGTGATATGTGTTGGCGTATTGCAATATGTAATTATTGCGATATATTGTGATATGTGTTGGCGTATTGCAATATGTATTGCAATATATTGTGATATGTGTTACGTATTGCAATATGTATTGCGATATATTGTGATATGTGTTGGCGTATTGCAATATGTATTGCGATATATTGTGATATGTGTTGGCGTATTGCAATATGTATTGCGATATATTGTGATATGTGTTACGTGATTGCAATATGTATTGCGATATATTGTGAAAGTGTAACACATGGGTTAAGGTAATGAAATTACTGCTTCCTTTCTTTGAAACACTGCCACTAACCACTGTCAGGACTCAGATGTGATTGTACAGGAGATCAATTGAAAATGTTTCCCAATTTCTCAAAACTATTAATGTATAATAATATAAAGGAAATACAAATGTCCTTAGCATTTTTGACTACATCACAAAAATTACTGATCATGGTCACGAAAAATTGCCGATCATGGTCAATGAAATTCGTTGATCGAATGAACTGGTTCGCAAAAAGGGTACCGCAATATATCGTATTGTGGAGTTCGAATTGCAATGTTCCGGTTAACCAGTATTAACGCCCACCCCTAATGACTACAGAACTAGTTGCACCGCAAGTAGTATCAATACGTGTGCAAAGCGCATTTGTATAACCTCTGTGTCATGTACCAATGTAACGTGAGTGGTGATACAAATATATCATCTCGTACATGGACATGATACTACTTACTGTACAACTAGTATTGCAACATGAAGCATGGATCAATGCTTTACCTGTAGTTATAACTGTGAAATTTCGTAACCGTACTGAAGTGAGGTGTTAACACCAGTAAGATGTTGACTAGAGAGAGTTCAAAGGTGACAAGACCATCATATTTCATCAACCCTACATTATTCCAATCAACTTGTCCACAACTGTCAGATCATAATACTTTGAAATGTTTGAGGCAAGCAATTCAACCACTATCATCAGCCAAGGAAGTTGAATTATATCTGCTCTAACAAATGAAGCACTTTGTTTCTAATTTGCATAAACATGATCAATCAAAAGTACTTTTATTCATCAAAATGACTACGAAGCCACGCTAATGCCTCTGCATAAAGCATTTCTGAAAATGTTGCAGAAAAGACAAGGTGAGAAAGAACACTTGTTGGCACAGGTAGACCTGCATTATTTATCATGAGTTATGTTTTTGGTAAAAATGAACCCATTTAAAGTAAATGAACTTATAGCGTATCATTTCTTCAAGAATGTTATTTAAACCAGAGGTATAAACCTTTGACATCATTGCCTTTTCTTTGAAGAAAAGTTTTATTAAAACCGGAGGTAACACATATCAGAAATATCAGTTTATACTATCAACTGATACTATTTTCCAAACAACAAGCAGCAAGCCAGTACATGCTCTTTTCATTCTGTGTATTGTTTTCTCCTACCTTTTTCGACTTTTTGTTTTCCTGAGAAAACAATTATGATTAGTATTTAGGAGTACAGTATCATCTACAGTGACTACATCTACATATTCATGAAATATATATATATATATATATATATATATATATATATATAAAGGATAAATCATGACTCTGAGGTTTGGGTTAATAGTAAAACCTGAGGGTAGCAACGGCCCAAAGTTTTACTGTCAACCCAAACCAATACCGAGTATTTTATCTCTTTTGTAAAACCAGTGAAACAACATTTTATAAATATTTGTGTAATATCATTCATAAAATTGAGCTACAAAAGGGAAAAAATATTCATAAAACATGTCAAGGTAGAAAAGATTCATTAAACATGGCCCCCTTCTTATAAATGACACATCTTTAACAGCAATGATGTGGTGCAGTGGTGGTTTGATAGTCTGACCACTTGTTCCAATGATTCGGCTCCATCCATCATGGGTCAGCATCAAATCTACCTTTTGCACACTGTCATTTAAATTGCTTTAAAGACACAGAGACATTTTACTGACTACCAGCTTTTTAGTTTTCTTGGAGGAGGTGGGGAGGATGTGGGGAGGGAAAAGGAATCAAATCAACAGCATCATTTAAAAAATATTTATCATGAAATACAATACCCCAATAAATGGGGTAATGTTGGGGGGTATACCTTCATTATGCAACAACATAAGTTTAATTTGAAAATTGTACCTTGAAGGATAATAGTGTAACTATATGATTATTTATATAATTTGGGAATATGTTAATCAATAACTATTGATAATGACATGATTACTCAGTCTTATACTGTCTAGTAAAGTCATGAATTATTATTGTACTTAGGTGATTGTCCGACATCTGGGACCCATAAAAAAAAAATCACATGCAATTAAAAAAACAGTAAAACATCATAAGGTTTAAGATTTGATAGATCTAGTACCATGATAAAGTTTTAGACATCAAAGTCTGAGGTAGACACACGACTATCAACATAAACTCGGAACGATGAGTTCATGTCGCAGGTGTGTTTGACACTTCATCAGGAACAACAGAGGTACAAACCATCTACAAAGCAGTGCTGATGCAGGGTTGCTACTTACCTTATCATGCTTTTCCTTTTAATACAATAATTGGGCACATACATTAAATACTACTATAGCGTTGTGACACGATCATATCCAAGCCATGCAGTCTTTTAACAGATATTCAGTTGAACATAACAGCCATTAACATATTCCAAATAAAAATCTATGCATAAATTAAAATATTCCTTATCAGCATTATTTTCACAAAGTAAATTTTGCATTCAGACACATTCATATTTTTTATACAACATGCTACTTTTTACCGATTTAGCAAAAAATGGATCCTGCAATTTGAGTCAAGGAGACAAACATATTTTTATAACTATCAAGCAAGAAACAGTACATCATTGAAATAGAGTTGTAATTTTACATTAGGAATTTGTTCATGTTTGTTACACTCAGCAATATTCCAGCTATGTGATCTTCATTACAACAGCACTTGTAATGGACCAGACAATCCAGTGACTGAGATCATGATCTGTCATTGTCATCAACCAAGTCTCTTCGCCTGACCACCCGATCCATTTAGAAAATTACGCTAGGGACCAAAGCTAAGTGACCAGAGCTGGAAGTTCACCATTTCAACAGGAATTCACAATCATGGGTGCTGAAAATCCTGGAAGCACAAGCTGTGAAAATCTGGGATTCGAACCCATGATCACAGAACTGCTACATGTCTAAAGGATCAAACTCTGATGCCTCAGACAAGCGGGCCACCTGTGCCCCCATTAGGCATGAGAGGTTCCCTTAATATAGAGCGACACTCTGCACATTTAGAAGACTGCCTTGATCTATAAGATTTATACCAGTTCAGGTTTAACATTTGGACCAAACTTGTTTCATTGAGATTTAAGATTGAGAAGGATATGAGATGTCAGAAACATTTGAAAATATATAAACTTTCTAATAATTCTGTTGGAGAATTATATATCGGGCATGGCAGTGTGAAACCTTAGTACATGTATTTGTAAAAAATACACATATTTAACAATGATGATTAATTTACAGTGATTTATTGTACTTTGAGGTGAAGTGAATATTTGAACCTTGTGTTGCATGGCTTACCTCTGTCTGGTCAATGTCGTCGTAGATGTAGGACAGCTTTACACGGTCCACCACTGAGATGTTGTCACCGATGTCAACAAACAGAGCTGAAAAGAGGGATTAACTTAACTAGTGGCCTGAAAACAATGTCTCTGGCAAATGGCCTGAAATAATGCCATTGATCCTGAGACAATACAGAAACATGTCAATCGAAAAGTAGAAGATTGTAAACCATGACATGATTTAACATTATCAAACAAAAGACAAAGTAACTAGTTAATCAAACACAAAACAGAGCTATCACGCATTATGACAATATACATTCCCCTGTCAAACTCTTTGTGAACTCTTCAGGAAGTCTTTGTGAACTCTGCAGGAAGTCTTTGTGAACTCTGCAGGAAGTCTTCATGAACTCTTAAAGAAGGCTTCATGAACTCTTCAGGAAGTCTCCATGAACTCTTCAAGAAGGCTTCGTGAACTCTTCAGGAAGTCTCCATGAACTCTTCAAGAAGGCCCCATGAACTCTTCATGAAGTCTTCGTGAACTCTTCAGGAAGTCTTCATGAACTGAACTCTTCAGGAAGTCTTCGTGAACTCTTCAGGAAGTCTTCGTGAACTCTTCAAGAAGGCTTCATGAACTCTTTAGAAGTGTTCATGAACTCTTCATGAAGTCTTCAGGAAGTCTTCATGAACTGTTCATGAAGCCTTCGTGAACTCTTCAAGAAGGCTTCAGGAAGTGTTCGTGAACTCTTCAGGAAATCTTCATGAACTTTTCAGGAAGTCTCCATGAACTCTTCAAGAAGGCTTCATGAACTCTTCAGGAAATCTCCATGAACTCTTCAAGAACTCTTCAGGAAGTCTCCATGAACACTTCAGGAAGTCTTCGTGAACTCTTCAGGAAGTCTCCATAAACTCTTCAAGAAGGCCCCATGAACTCTTCAGGAAGTCTTCGTGAACTCTTCAGGAAGTCTTCATGAACTTTTCAGGAAGTCTCCAAGAACTCTTCAAGAAGGCCCCATGAACTCTTCATGAAGTCTTCATGAAGACTTTGTGAACTCTTCATGAAGCCTTCATGTGAACTCTTTCATGAAGTCTTCATGAACTCTTCAGGAAGTCTTCATGAACTCTTCAGGAAGTCTCCATGAACTCTTCAGGAAGTCTTCATGAACTCTTCAGGAAATCTCCATGAACTCTTCAGGAAGGCCCCATGAACTCTTCAGGAAGTCTTCGTGAACTCTTCAGGAAATCTCCATGAACTCTTCAAGAAGGCCCCACGAACTCTTCAGGAAGTCTTCGTGAACTCTTCAGGAAGTCTTCATGAACTCTTCATGAAGCCTTCGTGAACTCTTCACGAAGGCTTGATGAACTCTTCAGGAAGTGTTCGTGAACTCTTCAGGAAATCTTCATGAACTCTTCAGGAAGTCTTCATGAACTCTTCAAGAAGGCTTCATGAACTCTTCAGGAAATCTCCATGAACTCTTCAGGAAGTCTCCATGAACACTTCAGGAAGTCTTCGTGAACTCTTCAGGAAGTCTCCATAAACTCTTCAAGAAGGCCCCATGAACTCTTCAGGAAGTCTTCATGAACTCTTCAAGAAGTCTTCATGAACTCTTCAGGAAGGCTTCATAAACTCTTCAAGAAGTCTTCATGAACTCTTCAAGAAGGCTTCATGAACTCTTCACGAAGGCTTCATGAACTCTTCAGGAAGTCTTCATGAACTCTTTCAGGAAATCTTCATGAACTCTTCAGGAAGTCTCCATGAACTCTTCAAGAAGGCTTCATGAACTCTTCAGGAAATCTCCATGAACTCTTCAGGAAGTCTCCATGAACACTTCAGGAAGTCTTCGTGAACTCTTCAGGAAGTCTCCATAGAACTCTTCAAGAAGGCCCCATGAACTCTTCATGAAGTCTCCATGAACTCTTCAGGAAGTCTTCATGAACTCTTCATGAAGTCTTCGTGAACTCTTCAGGAAGTCTTCATGAACTCTTCAGGAAGTCTCCATGAACTCTTCAGGAAGTCTCAATGAACTCTTCAAAAAGGTTTCGTGAACTCTTCAGGGAGGCTTTGTGAACTCTTCAGGAAGTCTTCATGAGCTCTTCAAGAAGTCTTCATGAACTCTTCAGGAAGTCTTCGTGAACTCTTTCAGTTCATGAGCTCTTAATGAACTCTTCAAGAAGGCTTCATGAACTCTTCAGGAAATCTCCATGAACTCTTCAGGGAGGCTTTGTGAACTCTTCAGGAAGTCTTCATGAGCTCTTCAAGAAGTCTTCATGAACTCTTCAGGAAGTCTTCGTGAACTCTTCAGTTCATGAGCTCTTAATGAACTCTTCAAGAAGTCTTCGTGAACTCTTCAGGAAGTCTTCATGAACTCTTCAGGAAGTCTCCATGAACTCTTCAAGAAGTCTTCGTGAACTCTTCAGGAAGTCTTCATGAACTCTTCAGGAAGTCTTCATGAACTCTTCAGGAAGTCTTCATGAACTCTTCAGGAAGTCTCAATGAACTCTTCAAAAAGGTTTCGTGAACTCTTCAGGGAGGCTTTGTGAACTCTTCAGGAAGTCTTCATGAGCTCTTCAAGAAGTCTTCATGAACTCTTCAAGAAGTCTCCATGAACTCTTCAGGAAGTCTTCATGAACTCTTCAGGAAGTCTTCGTGAACTCTTCAGGAAGTCTCCAAGAACTCTTCAAGAAGGCCCCATGAACTCTTCATGAAGTCTTCATGAACTCTTCAGGAAGTCTTCATGAACTCTTCAGGAAGTCTTCATGAACTCTTCAGGAAATCTCCATGAACTCTTCAGGAAGTCTTCATGAACTCTTCAGGAAATCTCCATGAACTCTTCAGGAAGGCCCCATGAACTCTTCAGGAAGTCTTCGTGAACTCTTCAGGAAGTCTCCAAGAACTCTTCAAGAAGGCTCCATGAACTCTTCATGAAGTCTTCCTGAACTCTTTCATGAACTCTTCATGAAGCCTTTGTGAACTCTTCAGGAAGTCTTCATGAACTCTCATGAACTCTTCAAGAAGGCTTTATGAACTCTTCAGGAAATCTCCATGAACTCTTCAAGAAGGCCCCACGAACTCTTCAGGAAGTCTTCGTGAACTCTTCAGGAAGTCTTCATGAACTCTTCAAGAAGTCTGTCGTGAACTCTTCAGGAAGGCTTGATGAACTCTTCAGGAAGTGTTCATGAACTCTTCAGGAAATCTTCATGAACTCTTCAGGAAGTCTTCATGAACTCTTCAAGAAGGCTTCATGAACTCTTCAGGAAATCTCCATGAACTCTTCAGGAAGTCTCCATGAACACTTCAGGAAGTCTTCATGAACTCTTCAGGAAGTCTCCATGAACTCTTCAGGAAGTCTTCATGAACTCTTCAGGAAGTCTCCATGAACTCTTCAAGAAGGCCCCATGAACTCTTCAGGAAGTCTTCATGAACTCTTCAAGAAGTCTTCATGAACTCTTCAGGAAGTCTTCATGAACTCTTCAAGAAGTCTTCATGAACTCTTCAAGAAGTCTTCATGAACTCTTCACGAAGGCTTCATGAACTCTTCAGGAAGTCTTCGTGAACTCTTCAGGAAATCTTCATGAACTCTTCAGGAAGTCTCCATGAACTCTTCAAGAAGGCTTCATGAACTCTTCAGGAAATCTCCATGAACTCTTCAGGAAGTCTCCATGAACACTTCAGGAAGTCTTCGTGAACTCTTCAGGAAGTCTCCAAGAACTCTTCAAGAAGGCCCCATGAACTCTTCATGAAGTCTTCATGAACTCTTCAGGAAGTCTTCATGAAGTCTTCGTGGAACTCTTTCAGGAAGTCTTCAAGAACTCTTCAGGAAGTCAACAAGAACTCTTCAGGAAATGAACTCTCAATGAACTCTTCAAAAAGGTTTCTTGAACTCTTCAGGAAGGCTTCATGAACTCTTCCAGGAAGTCTTCATGAGACTCTTCAAGAAGTCTTCATGAACTCTTCAGGAAGTCTTCATGAACTCTTCAGTTCATGAGTCTTAATGAACTCTTCAAGAAGTCTTCATGAACTCTTCAGGAAATCTCAATGAACTCTTCAGGGAGGCTTCTGCATGAACTCTTCAGGAAGTCTCCATGAGCTCTCTTCAAGAAGTCTTCATGAACTCTTCAGGAAGTCTCCATGAACTCTTCAGTCCATGAGCTCTTAATGAACTCATGTAGACTCTTCAAGAAGTCTTCATGAACTCTTTCAGGAAGTCTTCGTGAACTCTTCAGGAAGTCTCCAAGAACTCTTCAAGAAGTCTTTGTGAACTCTTCAGGAACTCTTTCATGAAGTCTTCATGAACTCTTCAGGAAGTCTTCATGAACTCTTTCAGGAAGTCTCAATGAACTCTTCAAAAAGGTCTCAATGAACTCTTCAGGGAGGCTTCATGGAACTCTTCAGGAAGGCTTTGTGAACTCTTCAGGAAGTCTTCATGAGCTCTTCAAGAAGTCTTCATGAACTCTTCAGGAAGTCTTTGTGAATTTTTCAGTTCATGAGCTCTTAATGAACTCTTCAAGAAGGCCCCGTGAACTCTTCATGAAATCTCAATGAACTCTTCAAAAAGGTTTCGTGAACTCTTCAGGAAGTCTTCGTGAACTCTTCAGGAAGTCTCCATGAACTCTTCAAGAAGGCCCCATGAACTCTTCATGAAGCTTTGTGAACTCTTCAGGAAGTCTTCATGAGCTCTTCAAGAAGTCTTCATGAACTCTTCAGGAAGTCTCCATGAACTCTTCAGGAAGTCTTTGAGAACTTCAGGAAGTCTTCGTGAACTCTTCAGGAGCTCCTATGTGAATTCATGAACTCTTCATAAATTAACTTCAAGAACTCTTCATGAAGTAGATGTCTCTTTTAATGTTCATGAATTCTTCATGAAGAAAATACATGAAGAATTCATGATCTTTTTGACAGGGTTAAATTTCAATAAAAGTTTGATTTATCATTTAATATTATTAAAAATGAGGTTGGAAATCTGAGAGCACAACCCGTGTGGAAATGGGCGTCTACCTTTGATGGTGGCGATATTTTATTGTGATATCAAAAACATTTTTCGAACCAAAGCGAGGGAAGTACATTGTCAACCTTTGCTTGCTTCGCTCGCATATAGTAGGATTGGTAATTTTTTCTTTGTTGTGCAACCTTATTTGCGCTAAAGTTTGCCCACATTTTCATGGGTGTTTCAATAAATGATGAAATTTAGTTATCATAAGACATAATAATGCCATTAATTATTTGATAGAAAATCAAAACGAAAGTGCCTTTGAAAACATTATATACAATTACATCCATTCAAACAAAGCTATGTACTGCAATAACAGTGAAGAAAATTGAAGGTCAAAGCAACTGGTAACTTTTCTAACACCCCATGTCGATCAGCCATCCTTGAGATTTTTAACCTTCACTCAGAGGCTACTAAAATCACAAAACACCAAATCTGTTGTCTCACGTAACGTAAAGTAACATAAGAAGACAACTTACTGATGATGAGCTCGCAATACTTGGCTCGGAGTCTGTCTGGGAGTCTCTCGTCACAGAGGCAGGTGAAGGCCTCCTCCCATGTCAGATAGTTGAGCTTGTTGGTGATCACGTCTATAGCAAAATCATTCTGACCCTACAAGAAAACAACAGCAAAAAATATATGGAGAGTTCAATCCAAGTTGTCAGACATGTACTCACTTCTGATACAAGTTTCTGCAACTAGAATCTTAACTACAAATATTTTGAGAAAAAAAAAGAAGTCAATGCCAGAGAACAGCCTGTTTTGATTATTCGCCAAAACAGAGTTCACTTGGCGTAAAATAGTTGTGAAAATTTCATGACTGGATCCCTGAAAATTACACCAGGTTTTGTGAAGGTGTAAAGAAGGTGTCAAGCAATTGGAGAGAACCTGCTTTATTAAAAGACACTTGCCTACTGCTCAATTCTGATGTAAACATATACCGAGTGAATCACGTAAATGTATGTTAATTTTAGAAAAGGCTTCAAGATTATTTCTGCATTTATAAGTTGTTCAAATAAAAAAAACAATCCAGAAAGCAAAAACACAAAATCAGTGACATTGTTAAGCACGACCACCCACCGCCCACCCCCCTCACTCACTCACCCATCCACCCACCACAACACAACTGACATGAGAACAAGTTTGTTAGTTACTCACATGACACAGCATCCCAAACAGCTCCAGCTGATGCTCCAGAAACAAGTACTTCTCCTCTGCTGATTCCTGGAAACACAGACAAACACAATTCAGTATCCAACTTCCACTGACAGATCTATTTATCTCAGATTAGTAAATAGTACCCACTTGTAGAATATTTTATTGAGCATTTGTTTTGTTTGCGGAACTTACACTGGCGAAGTCCCTCAGCTTCTCCCACATCCTCCCATTGTTAGCGGTACTTGGACTTACATTGGCGACACTGGCGAAGTCCCTCAGCTTCTCCCACATCCTCCCCGTTGTTTGTGGTACTTGACGGGGTCCCTCAGCTTCTCCCACACTGGCTGCTCCCACATCCTCCATTGTCCCTCAGCTTCTCCCACATCCTCCCATTGTTAGCGGTACTTACACTGGCGAAGTCCCTCAGCTTCTCCCACATCCTCCCATTGTTAGCGGTACTTACACTGGCGAAGTCCCTCAGCTTCTCCCACATCCTCCCATTGTTTGTGGTACTTACACTGGCGAAGTCCCTCAGCTTCTCCCACATCCTCCCATTGTTAGCGGTACTTACACTGGCGAAGTCCCTCAGCTTCTCCCACATCCTCCCATTGTTTGTGGTACTTACACTGGCGGAGTCCCTCAGCTTCTCCCACATCCTCCCATTGTTTGCGGTACTTACACTGGCGAAGTCCCTCAGCTTCTCCCACATCCTCCCATTGTTTGTGGACACGTACACGATGCCGCCATCCTTCTGAATCTTCTCCCCGAGGTCGGTCAGGTAACAGTTCTGTAACAACAAACAAATCCAGGTGAACATCTCCAACACAGCAGGGCAATGTAAGGGTATGATCACATGCAATTGAGTCATCAAGTTGGACTACCTGATCTCTTTAGTCCACTCTTACCCCACTACAAACATGGGTAGAACATTTTGCTGCTGTCTGTTTTAAACAAGGAATCCCCTTAGGACTTAGGATCAATGCTTGAAGGAAATCATGATCTCTGACCACTGCTTTCAGGAAATGTTGATTTAGGATCAATGCATTAAGGTGAGCATGAATTTGAATGAATGCTCCAATTAGATTATGATTGCTAACAGGAAGTGATAATTTACGATCATTGCTAATGAGAGTAATGATTGAGGATTACTGGTGATAGGAAGTGATGATTGAGGATTGATGCTTATAGGAAGTGATGATTGAGGATTGATGCTTATAGGAAGTGATGGTTGAAGGATCAATGGACGTTATAGGAAGTGATGATTGAGAGATTGAAATGTGTAATAGGAAGTGATGATTGAGGATCGATTTGTAGAAGGAAGTGATGATTGAAGATTGATGCATAAAGGAAGTGATGACTGAAGATTGATGTGTAAAGGAAGTGATGATTGAAGATTGATGTGTATAGGAAGTGATGATTGAAGATCGATTTGTAAAGGAAGTGATGATTGAAGATCGATGTGTAAAGGAAGTGATGATTGAAGATCGATGTGTAAAGGAAGATGATTGAAGATCGATGTGTAAAGGAAGTGATGATTGAAGATGTATGTATGCATGACAGGAAGATTGATGTAAAGAAGTGACTGAAGATCGATGTGTAAAGGAAGATGATGATTGATGTGTAAAGGAAGTGATGATTGAAGGATGTATGTGTAAAGGAAGTGATGATTGAAGATTGATGTGTAAAGGAAGTGATGATTGAAGATCGATGTGTAAAGGAAGTGATGATTGAAGAACGATGTGTAAAGGAAGTGATGATTGAAGAACGATGTGTAAAGGAAGTGATGATTGAAGAACGATGTGTAAAGGAACTAGTTGTTTGCAATAACTAAGTAATATCCTACAACATCAACATTGGACACAATGAAACCTTGTTAGTCCAGACCCTGTTACCATGGTTACTGTTGAAAATATCCATAAATGTAACATTACTTTGCATCCACAAATTATTGATTTATATGATCATGATGGGAATGTTTCTGCCTGCAATACCAGGCCTTCATATTGAAAGAAAGAAAATGAAACTGAGATATCCAAACCAAGACACACATATTGACAAAAAGATTTGAAAAAAAATGACTACTACAGACAGCTAAAACTACAACCACATATTTACCACAATTGTTGATAAATAGTAAATCTAATAAAACTAAAACATATACAAGACTCCTCCTGAACTAGGAAAAGCTATGAAAGACAAGGCTTTCATATTTGTTTTCACTACCGTGTTGTTTAAAGATGGCAGACTATAAAGCAACAAGAAATGGTCGATGTCATCACACATGAAACCAGTATCTTTTGAGGCAAGTAATTAACAACCTTTAGTGATAAAGTAAATGTCTGTGAACTCAGCAGATACTGAAGTCATACTGAAACAGCCAGTGGTTGCTGATGGAGCAACAAGTCTGGTTGTCAAGGTGACACACACAGTGACTCCCATTTCTTACTGTCAAATACCCTGAATTTATTGTTCAAAAGGGAATATTTAATGAGTCTGGTTAACACTGCTTTGAATGGTATGTCAGATATACATGTATCATTTAAATCATTAAGAAGTTTTTCACAAAGTTTTACTCAATACATAGCCCTGCTCATTGTTCTGGCATCTTGGTATTCGGGAAAATTAGAAATGAAGTGATAAGAAAGTGAAATGACAATTCTTAATGGAAGAAAATGACTATGCCTACAAGCTGACAACATAGTTTTCTGTACAAAAGATGATATTCTAAACATCTGAAATAACAAATGATGTTTTTTGAACATCAGTTTTTGGAATGTATGTAATACTAATTTCCCCTACCTGACAAAAATATCATATATAATCACCACTATGCTATTGTGGACAAATGTTTGTAGCAAATATTCATTTGCAATATAATAACGGAAAGCTGATAACACACAAAACAATTATTTCTAAATGAATGTTGCTGTTGGAATATACAGGCATATATACAGGATTACTGTCAAACTCACAAAACAATCCTTGATAAGTTAGGCACATTGCATGTGTGCGTGTGTGTGTGTGTGTGTGTGCGCGCACGTGTGTGTTTTCGTCTCTGCCTGTGTGTATTGCTACTTTATTTGAGTACATCCTTGATGATGATAATGATGATGATGATGATGGTGGTGGTGATGATGATGATGATGATGATGATGATGATGATGATGATGATGATGTACTTATAAAGCACACAACACCACACACAATGTACGTTTAAAGCGCACAAGAAATTTTTCACTCCTGTCCACCAAGGTAAGCTTGAAATGGAGAGTTTATCAGCGCTGGAAAATTGAAGTGTAAGATTGTTCTACTGTTCAAATTGGCAGCGCCAAAGGTAAAGGACCAATGGCCATAGCTTAAAATGTCTGCTTTTGGAACAGAGATGAGATGGTGAACTCTGAGTGAGAACACTGATATGTGTAGGTTTATGACCCTGCAAGTGTTAAACAATTTGGAAATTAATTTTTTTCCTTTAAACTGACCAAGCCATTAAATATTAAACTTGGTATTTCAACTTTTGTGTTGACCAAAAATATTTTGTTTATATGAATCACTCAGTCATCAATAAATTTTGATAATATATCATCCCAAACCTCTGCGGGTATATCTATAGTGGCTGAAACAATAAAGGTTTTATTTTTACTCAGCATCCTTGATGGCCCCTATATATTACGACATGTTGGGTTGTGCAATGCCACCATACAATGTATCTCATTATCAATGCATAAACCCATCCAATAAATATGCAAATGAGGTAATGTGGCATATACTATTCTTAATGATTGAAATGACTATATAGAAGAATTATGATGTAATTTTGTCATTACATGTTTAAATATATTTTACTTTAGAGTTTAGCTTGTACAATAAATGCATTGATGAAATAAAAATATTTTGCAGCCATGTTTTTGTGTTTGAGGGGAGATGTTCATGGAGATGTGTTTCCTGTTTGCCAGTCTAACAACAAAGCTGACAATTAAGTGACATTTTATCACACGAGATATAAGTATTCAGTACAAACAAATTCACAATATCAGAACACCATTAGATAATAAAAGCATTAAAGAGTGTCGAGTGTGCTGAGAAATATCTCAAGAACTCAAGTGTACTATCATACTCATAGAAGCTACAGTAGAGAACCACAGGTACTAAAGCTCACCTTCACACACAGATAACATCAGCTTGTGTTGTCAATGTGTTCTTTAACATGTGAAAATCAATACTTTTATGGATTAACAGACTTTTAAAACTCTCTCCTTCACAATATAAATTTACAATCAAGATAATCTATTCTTGATAAAAATAACAAAAACATATATTGCTCTGATTAGTAAAACCGTATCCAGAGGAAAATTAATTTCCGAATTGACTTTCACGAGTAAAGTTGCTTTTGAAACTGCATAATGATGAGAATATTTATTGTTCAGGGTCTCCTTTCACGGAGCGACCTTTACTAAGGTTAACCTTAACTCCCATTCTTTAACATTGCACTAAGGTTACCTTTGTGACTTACGATCACCTTAGTGCTTTGTGAAAGGAGGCCCTGAACAATAAAACCATATCAACTCACACTTAGTAAATTTATGCATTGTTTCTAACAAAGTATAGTTTCTGAAAAAAATTAAAATTCATACAATCTGATATCAACACCAACATGCTGTAATTTTCAATGGTTCTGAACAGGTTTGTTGGTGATATTTGATCGACATTAAAAGTATTTAAACAACTGAAAACTGAATGTCTTCAGGTATGATATGAGAAGGACACATGGTATAACTGACTGAGTTTTGGTTTTACGCCGCTTTTAGCAATATTCCAGCAACATCACGGCGGGGGACACCAGAAATGGGCTTCACACATTGTACCCATGTGGGGATTCGAACCCGGGTCTTCAGCGTGACGAGCCAACGCTTTAACCATTAGGCTACCCCACCGCCCCACACATGGTATAAACAAATACATCTACAAACAAATACTTGACTGGATGGATCATCTTTCACCTGTTTTTCAAAAAAGAAATGCAGTAATTACAACAATTCTGCAAAAATATTTTAAATTAAAAACTTTAATTTTATGAATTGGCTCCTGGCAAAATGATCTTGCTACTATGAGTATGGGTGACACAAATACTCCTTGAGTTCTTGAGAAGCTTAACATGAAACTGCAGACTGTTAAAATAATTACAAAACTCAAAGTCTTACCCCCTTTGCGGGAATTAGAATAGGACTGAAAACACAATGTTACAGACAAATGCCATTACCCGGATACATCATTTGTGGCCATAAAAGGACATTTCGTGGCTTACATGACCACCACATGGAACCAGCATGAGATGAAAGTATTTGAGTGCACTTTCTTTCTTGGCAGAATTGGAGACTTCCGATCTGGGTGCCATTGTACAAAACAACATTGGCTGTTGTAGGTGTATGTCAAGGTATCAGAGTTATGATCACCTTAGACCTAAGATTGCCTTTGTACAACGACACCCTGCTACTATAAACAGATTAAACAACTAAATATTCTGGGTGCTTCTGGGGTTTTAGTTAGATGGAGTCCATGTTGTCTAGCATTGCATCAAAACATGCAATTTCTGTCACTGAAAGGAGGGTCCTAAACTACATAACATTTTCTTCAAGATCTTCAGCTTGTCCAGATAAGAGTTACTTTCTTTTAAAAATCGGCATGGACATTTTTTGGGTGGAGAATTTTTTAATAAACAAATCCCAGCACCCAAGAATATTAAACAGCTGTCCTTGAATTTTTGAATATCTGCATGAGGAGGAACACAGGTGTTCCAAGTGATTGTCAGAAACTTTTACCATTGATTCAGGACAGGACAGGTGAATGTTAAATCTCATTTAAAATTGTTTATATTTTCTCATTTGTTATTTTAAAAGAAAATGTTAATAGCTACAGAAACTGCTGGGGTCAATGTATTGTTCTGATGCATGTACCACAGACGATGGATGACGGCAATGTAATTGTAATGTTGTCAAACAGTGCAGCAGTAAATGTTGAAATGAAAATATTGGAAAATTATTACACTTTCAACCATTATGGGTGATATTTCCCATATTTTAATCACTGGCAGGTTTTGCATGCCACAATCTTAACCTGTCAGACATCAAGTACAGTACACTGGAATACCCATCATTTTCTCCATAAAACGATCACTACAAATAATTGATGCTGCAGGATTTATATCATGGTCATAACGGTAGATATTAAAGTTGCATTTAAAAAGTGATATATTGATATCAGTGCAAATCTTGAGTCTAAAAATAGAGAAAAAATATGAATGATATGTCTTTAATATTCATATTTATTCAAAAACATTCAGGTGCTTCTTAAGTGTCAAGTCAAAAGTGTACCACACAAATTTGGAACACGTGGTTTCCACGGCAATGAGTAGACACAAACGTTTCGCTTCCTGTCTGACCAAAACTGACCTGTCCTGTTTTACTAGATTTCAGCCTTTTCCCACTCGTTTCTTCTGGTTTCTGTTATTTTTAACACAATAGGAACATCTGACCAAAGAGCTGAGAAATCACACCATGGTTAGAATGTGATACAATTTCACAAATTCCAATGTGGTCAAACTAACACAGATTAGAACAATTTAGAAAAATTTGCCAAAACTTACATCTTGATTTAAAAACCTTTTTGACTAAAATTTAAAACAATCTTTCAGTTGTAAAAAAGCACAAAATGGACATGTATACTTTCTCATGTTACCATGGATACAAACTTAAGACAATAATTGCTATCCTGCTAAACTTAGTTTTGTCAAACTATCCTCGAGTCCTGAGTCTTGTGACACATATAGACATTCCTTATTTCAAACTTAAGTCCTTTAAGTAAGCATCAAACATGTAAACATAATCACATACCATAAGAAACTCTTTTCCCCTGACATTCATCAGAATATGTTAAAGTCTTTTTGAAATCATAGAAAAAGCATGGTTGTACACCAAAACCAGGAATCTTGTTTGACATATAGGGAGGGACATTTCCCTACAGAAAGGTAAGCTATCCATTTTGGAATTATGAAATGTGGCTGTCAAGCAAACAAACGGATCATTGAGCATCTTCCATGTTGTCTCAGTCGTGCAGGGCAACAAACTGCATTTTTAAATTCATTACTATAATCATCAAGCTAGGAATTCATAAAAAACATAAATGTTGAATTTATATTTTTTCAACAGATCTCTTAACCAAGTTGAAACAACCAAAAACTGAAAAATTAGTCATTAATCCATCTACAAACATTATTTGTGTTCTAACAAACGATAATGCACAAATTCTGTAACATTTGTGCCGTTTCCATGGCAACCAGACATACCTTGTCTTGCCTCATGAGCCACACTTCAGTGATGTACTTCTGGTTGTCTGCTATGGAGACTCCGTCACACACACACAGAACACTCAGCAGATCCAGGTACCGGTAGTTCTGGAAACAGAACCCACACAATGTCATGTTCTATCTGTGTCTAACACTTCAAACACTGCAGACCCAATCACAAGACAGTAGAACATCCATCCGACAAACTCTGAGAAATAATGGATACCAAACTGTTTTTTAACAGAATACGCACATACAGTCAAATCCCGATGAGTCAAATCGCTGGGGACCAAGTAATAAATTCGACTTATCGATGTATTCCGAGACATAGGTATGTCTATGAGGGTAGAAAAAAAGATGATCCAGTCCTAATTCCTCCGCCTAAGCATTTGTTTATCTAATGATTTCCATATCACTAATAGGGGCACCTTATCAGTTCCAGTCTGATTAGCACAGACAGTGATTTCCGTAAAATCACTAATCTGCCTTTTGAACTCACCCGTCAATGGCGGAAAGGTGTGAGCCGTGCTGGTTTGTTAATTGGATCAGTTTGCTACACCAATCAACTTCTCATTGACTGACTTCGGCTTATGTATACAAGATTGCTGTTGTTTGAATCTCATGGGACCAAATTTCCTTCTTGAGTCATCGTGTGTATTTATGAGACGAATTTGTGTAACCGGAAATTCAAATGATGACAACTATAACAGGGAATGGTCGGGACCGACAGGTACTTCGAGTTATGCATAATGTTCGAGACACCGGCATTCGACTCATCGGGATTTGACTGTAATTTGAAACTATAAAAAAGAAATACATGTATTAAGAAGCAATCCCTTTGTTGCTACAAGACAAAGATATATATCAGCTTGTTTTGAGAATCACATCCACAACAAAACAATACCAACCTTGTCCGTGTGTAGAAGATCAATGAACTTGTCGATGTGTTCGTGAGTAATCCTGTCCACAATCTTCCGGTTGTCTCGGATCAGCTCCATCACCATGTGGGCGGCGTTCAGACCAATCTTGCCCTATGGAAACCAGGGAAATTAAACATTGCCATATAAGGACATTACGAATTGTCAGTTTGCAATTTGCATTTTTCTATCCAAATGTGGAATCAAAATAATCTTTTTCCATTGAAAGTTCGTTTGACTGAGTTAATTTTGTTGTTTGTCCGGTGTATTGAATTATTTCATCCACCTGATGATGAACTGCTCTTATATTTACAAATCTTCCTTTCAGTTCGGTGGTTTCTCATTACTTTTCAACTCGCTATGGGCATGTGCAGAGTGTGTAAAAAATATGCACTAGCCTAGTTTGGTCGTATGTTTACCGATAGTGTAAATACAATCTAAATAAACGCTGTTATGAAAATTATTTACGTTAAGACAACTGTTCATAGCTGGGTACATACTTCCATTTGCCTATGCTTTTCAATAATTGATGTCCGTTTTGGTTGCAATTGCATCAGAGATGTGTTATTTGAGTCGTGAGAAGGGGAAGTGGGTCCCGGGATGTGCGGGAAGGACGGTGCCGGTGAGATGTGTTTATACAAGAGCATGTTAACATAAATTAAGCTATTTATTCAACTAATCACGGCCTTTGTTTCATAAATCAATTGTGATCAGTTGCATTTGACATAAAACTATATATTTGTTTTGATTTTTGTTTTCTTTAGAGTGTGTTTACACTATCGGTAAAGCATATGACCAAACCTTGGCCAGTGGTTATTTTTACATGCTCTGCAAAATTAATGGGAAACCAACGAATGGCTTGTTGCCACACAGATATTTTTAAAAGGATCCAGTTAAGAATACATGCCAACCTGACTGAGAGATCGAGTATATTTTAAGTTACTAAGTGAAATTCTGTTAAAAGTGTCAAAGTTGCGAAAATGAAATGGTTCACCCCAGTGGTGTCAGTACATTCTCAGATGGTCAACAAAAATTTGTGACAGTACTTACATTCTCACACAAGTGATGCATAGTTTGTTTGTTTGTTGTTTAATGCTGCACTCAGCAATATTCCAGCTATATTGCAGTGGCTTGTAAATAATGGAGTCTGGACCAGACAATCCAGTGATCAACAGCATGAGCTTCGATCTATACCATCGGGAACCGATGACATGTGTCAACCAAGTCAGCAAGATTGACCACCCAATCCCGTTAGTTGCCTCTCACGACAAGCATGGGTTACTGAAGACCAATTCTAACCCGGATCTTCATGGGTTAAAAGATGATTACGAATTGACCTAAATTTTAAAATTTCAACATATCAAGGCCACTCAACGTCACCCCAGCATGCCCTACACAACATAATGGACAATGTTACCCCGGATAACCCAAGCTGCTTGTGAGGTGCTACAAGATTAATAGTCATATGACACATCCCACCGGGTACCCATTTCTCCAATTCTTCCCATGTACAAGTGATGCAAGTAAGCATGCAGCACACTCCAGACTACATGCTCACACAATGCTCAATTTGATACATGACTGCAGTGGGTTGTACATGCTTTTACAATGAACTGTTTAATCTATGATATAGTTAATTGGTTTGTTGTTTAACATTGCACTCAGCAATATTCCAGCTATATGGCAGAGGTAAATAACCAAGTCTGGGTCAGACAATCCAGTGATCAACATCATGAGCATCGATCTACGCAATGGTTTACTGAAGGTTGTACATGCTCACACAATGCAGCTAAATCTCCATGTTAGGTAGGATATGTAGCTGCATAAAACTGTACATGCTCATGGGATTACCCAAATCTTTCATAGTTAATCTCTCATGGCGTCACAGATAGTTGTATAGTATAAACAGGAACATGTGCATGGTGCTCACATCAGTTTCAGGTCACCGTGGTAACAGATGATAAACTTACTGTCAATTTATCAGGAAATTTCTGTGTTTTAAAGAAGATATTCAATACATATGTTGATGAGCCTAACTTAACTAATATTGAGATTCATTCTTATCAAACTTAAAAAATAGCTATAGAGAAAGTAATAATTTTCACCTAAAATGAATTATATGTTCAAGTGTCCTCTCAAGACTTAGAATAATCACACACAAATGCTTCAATTCATTAGTTTGTTGCTTATTTACATGCCTAGCAATACTCCAGCTGTATGGCGGCGGGCTGTAAATAATCAAGTCTGGACCACACAATCCAGTGATTGACACCATAAATATCAATCTACAGAATTTGGATATGATGACATGCATTAGCCAAGCCAGCGAGCCTGACCCTCCAATACTGTTCTTCCTCTGTTTCAATAAACATGGACTGCCATTTTTTAAGACCAATTCTGTAACCACGATCTTTGAAAGGTTTCTTGCTCTCATTCCCAGTGGCAGATCAATTCATTTACTGATAGTCTGAAGATTCGTATCCCATATGAGTTCATATCTCATATGCAGGGAAGAGAATGGGTATGAGTGAGAAACAAGGACAATGAGCCGGGCGTCTTGGGGGTGATTTACAAGAATGACCCCAACGCGATAAAATCCATGGAATTCCGTGGAAAATTCTCATCCCTGCATATGTGAAAGTTCATTTTGATTTCAATCCGCATCTTCATGCTTGGAATTGTAACCTAATGATCACGACACGAGAGAGATGTTGCTCTCCAAAACTTACACCTGTAGGTTTAAAGAGGGTGTAGCAACCAACACATGGTTATAACAAACAAAACCAGATGAGACTTGGGGAATAATGGACATAAACCCACCTCCTTGTACTCGAACTGTGTGAGGAAGAAGTCGATGTACTTGGCAATGTACAGCTCGTTCTTGCGACTGTCCCCATCAGGTACGTGTACAGAACATCGTACGCTTCCACGAAGATGTTGGTCAGATGCCTGCATGGTAAATCGGGTTATACAGATAAGGTGTTATAGGGTTTAATGTCCCACATTCATCGCACTTAAATATCAATATAGTGTGTTAATGAGGGGCTGCTTATTTTGACCGTTGCTGGAATATTGCTGTGTTAGTTTGTTGTTTGATGCCGTACTCAGCAATATTCCAGCTATATGGCGGCGGTCTGTAAGTAATCAAGTCTGGACCAGACAATCCAGTGATCAACAGCATGAGCACTGATCTACACAGCTGAGATGTGATGACATGTGTCAGCCATGTCAGATAAGGTCAAATATGGTTTAATGTCTCACACTCAATGCACTTAAATAGCAGCATGCATGCATGTGCATGTGCATGTGCATGTGTGTTATGGGGGCTGCTTATACTAGTCTCAACCAATGCTGCTTGAATACTGCTAGCCCAGTGTGAAAACACAATTTCATATGAAACTACCCACTTTGATACTAGCTCCAAGTTTCCACTCCTTGCTTTAAGCTCTATAATCAGAACGCCAGGCAGGGTGACAACAAATACCATTGTTTTATGTCTTTGGGCATGACATGGCTAAAACCACGACCTCTAGATAGACACTGAAGTCTTCATATCCTATTCATATTGCCATACACAAACATTGAAATTTTGAAATTTAATTCCCTTTATATCATCCAGTAGAAATGGTGCAATTAAAAATAAATGGCTTAACACAAAAATCTGTATAGCAACATAAAGGCAAAACAGAATCCCTTGCAGTATATTTATTATATTATGCTTATATCAACTTGGGCATATATCGGTCATCCTTTCCACTGGGCATATATACAGACAATCTGGAGGAGACTCACAAGCAGCTCCACAATCTGTCAAAACACATCGGCATATATCACACTGAGCACATATACATAGAGCTCACTGGGCATATATACACACATTGGGCAAATACAAACACTGGGCAATATAACTAATCATACACTGGGCATATATAGGGTACACACACTCATATATACACACTACTGGGATGAGTTGAGCATACATACATAGAGGCTATTTCAAAAATATTTCAGAACCCATTGTGTCAGCATGCTTATTTCTACTGCATTTATGTTGAAGAATGTCCTAAGGTACATTTCTAAAGTATAACATGTAAGTACTGTTCTCCTATCAACTCACCCTGAGATTTCTCATCAGCTTCTGACGACGCTTGTTTGGCACACTGTCCACAACCATGAACTTCTTCATCTCTGACAGCGCCTATAACAGGAGCAGTTAAAAATATCAATTAAGATACTATTCATCACAGAAATAGTTCATGTGAGCACATTTTCTGCAAAGACGGTTCGTCCGGTAATGAGTATCAGGTTGCCTGTACATCTACAGATCCAGGCAGAAATCTACACTTACCATTATAACAGTGTGAGCAGACTTGGCATTCAGGATAACATCCTCTTTTTTCTGAAAAATCAATTCAGTCGACAGTACAGTTAATTTATGAAGGTGAGGTGAAATTGGGTTAACGACGTGCTTGAGAATATTTCGCTCATATGACGATGTGCATGCGTGTGTATGTGTATGTGTGGCTGCTTGTACTAGCCCAGACTGAAGCTGGTTTTATAGTGCTAGCCCACTGAGATACCATGCCGCAGTGAAGCATGAATACCCCACTCAGACACATTATACTGACTCCGAGCCGACCAGTCCTTGTTGTACCCATTAATGCCTAGTGCCAGGCAGGGACCAACAAGTACCATATTTTAACGTCTTTTGGTATGACGCGGTCGGGGATCTGACCCGCGACCTTCCGCTCACCGGGCGGACGCTCTAACCATTACACCACGGAGGCGGTTAATTTATGAAGGAAATGCATGAACATCCTTATTGTTCTTCATCATGGACGCCACTCATGAAGGTACTACCAAGTTTTCCAGATGAAGTTCACACAGCACCAGGTTCCATAAGGGAATGGTCATGGTGTTAAAATAATATTACACTAATCAGTATATACTTTGATTTCATTCTCAACCCGCATGGGAGTACACAACAAAGCTGCCATTTAAGGCACAAGAAGGTTTAAAGTCACATTGTTGCCTCATCCCACTGGGTACCCATTAACAGACTTATCACAGTTTCAGCCTACTGGGTACCCATTAACAGACTTATCACAGTTTCAGCCTGCTGGGTACCCATTAACAGACTTATCACAGTTTCAGCCTGCTGGGTACCCATTAACAGACTTATCACAGTTTCAGCCTACTGGGTACCCATTAACAGACTTATCACAGTTTCAGCCTGCTGGGTACCCATTAACAGACTTATCACAGTTTCAGCCTGCTGGGTACCCATTAACAGACTTATCACAGTTTCAGCCTGCTGGGTACCCATTAACAGACTTATCACAGTTTCAGCCTGCTGGGTACCCATTAACAGACTTATCACAGTTTCAGCCTGCTGGGTACCCATTAACAGACTTATCACAGTTTCGGCCTGCTGGGTACCCATACCATGCGCCCATTCCCCGCTTGGGAGTACACAACAAAGCTGCCATTTAAGGCACAAGAAGGTTTAAAGTCACATTGTTGCCTCATCCCACTGGGTACCCATTAACAGACTTATCACAGTTTCAGCCTGCTGGGTACCCATTAACAGACTTATCACAGTTTCAGCCTGCTGGGTACCCATTAACAGACTTATCACAGTTTCAGCCTGCTGGGTACCCATTAACAGACTTATCACAGTTTCAGCCTACTGGGTACCCATTAACAGACTTATCACAGTTTTCAGCCTGCTGGGTACCCATTAACAGACTTATCACAGTTTCAGCCTGTTGGTACCCATTAACAGACTTATCACAGTTTCAGCCTGCTGGGTACCCATTAACAGACTTATCACAGTTTCAGCCTGCTGGGTACCCATTAACAGACTTATCACAGTTTCAGCCTGCTGGGTACCCATTAACAGACTTATCACAGTTTCGGCCTGCTGGGTACCCATACCATGCGCCCATTCCCCGATTTTAAACAGTCTCTTGTCTAAGAATATTCCACATGTGATGGAAGGGACTGAAGCCTTAGAAACTGATGAATCCCTGCTGAAAACTGACCCAGTCAGAAGAAATCGAGAACCCATACACTTGGCTTCATTCTAGAAATGTGAAAAATCTCATCAGCACTCACATCCTTGACTAGTTTCTGGATGAAAGGAACCATTCCGGCCATGTAGTGGAAGATGTCAACAAGTTCAGTGTCCACTGCTTGTAGCGTGAAGGCGTCATCGTACTGCTTCTCTCGAATAGCCTCGATCTGAACAGTCACAGAGATATTAATATTCACATTTCAACATCAGCATGTACCAGTTCCTTGCTATTGAAATAGGAAGACATCATGTGACATTGGCTATCTTAAGAAACTGGTTGTCTTGTCACATGACGGAAGATCACAATCATATGGACCAAATAAGCATGAAACCTCACATTATTTCATCCTCGATAATCTCCAGGGTATAAGTTCCGATAAATCTCACTATAACCTGGATGCATCTACGACTCGAGCCGATGATTTTATTACCTCCTTGGTTGGCTTTTTATCCAATCAGGTGTCTATGCTGGGAAGTTGAGCATACCAATCACAACTCACTTTCGCTTTTTAAATTATCTAACCGATTAAACATGGCAACATAATAATATACTGTTGCAGAGGTACTCTGAAAGAGGTAGAAGGAGTTCTTGCATATATTTTTTTAAGATTTCAGACCTGTCAATTTTTCTGTATGTTTTCGACCCAAATCTGAGTCGCAATGCCAACAAACTTTCGCGACAGCGACCGCTATCTTTGTTGACACTGGCAAGCTCGGTTGTAATGGTGACTTATCTGATTGGCTACTGTGAGAATGTGGAGCCAGCAAAGGGAGGTAATAAAATCATCGGCTCAAGCCGTAGATGCATCTAGGGCATAGTGGAGATTTATCGGGACGTATACCCTGGAGATTATCGAAGCTGACATTATTTTGGCAGTAACCAATATGGGGAATCTTGTCAACTATTAATCTCTTTCATTGGGGCTTTACTGATTATCAACACATTCATCCAAATTAAAAACATTCCCAGAATGTACAAACAACAGTCAATCTCATTAAAATCCTGAATTTGATGCCCCTGTCATCAAGATCTGACAAAACTCTCCTCCAGATATCATGTCACATGAACTCTATAATGGCCTCATCAATGTGGACTTCAAAACTTTCAGAGAAGAATACATGTCTGTATCAAATACACAGGTTGTTCAAATGGAGAAAAACACCTACAGTATATGGAGATGCATCATTTTAGGAAGCTGACATTTGATTGGTTCGAAACCCAATATTACATTTAGGTGTCAAAGTCCACTCTGAATATACTTGTCACCTTTAATGGAGCATTTTTAAGGATGATGACAGAGGCATCAAGTCAACAGAAGGGTATCTCTTTATGACATTGTACTTACACACAAGGATACTGATAACACAACCAAACATAAATATCAGACTAATTCCATTTGCTGCCAAGATTTTTTAGGATAAGAATATTCGAATCAAACATTTGGTAATATTGACTCAAAATAATAATCAAGTCTAAACGTTGGTTTAATATTATTGCAATGCTATTGCAATAGTTGACAGCCACGACAATACTATTGCAATAGTTGACAGCTGACATAATACTACTGCAATAGTTGACAGCTGACATAATACTATTGCAATAGTTGACAGCTGACATAATACTACTGCAATAGTTGACAGCTGACATAATACCATTGCAATAGTTGACAGCTGACATAATACTACTGCAATAGTTGACAGCTGACATAATACTACTGCAATAGTTGACAGCTGACATAATACTACTGCAATGGTTGACAGCCGACATAATACTACTGCAATAGTTGACAGCTGACATAATACTACTGCAATAGTTGACAGCTGACATAATACTACTGCAATAGTTGACAGCTGACATAATACCACCGCAATAGTTGACAGCTGACATAATACTACTGCAATAGTTGACAGCTGACATAATACTACTGCAATAGGTTGACAGCTGACATAATACTACTGCAATAGTTGACAGCTGACATAATACTACTGCAATAGTTGACAGCTGACATAATACCACCACTGCAATAGTTGACAGCTGACATAATACTACTGCAATAGTTGACAGCTGACATAATACTACTGCAATAGTTGACAGCTGACATAATACCACTGCAATAGTTGACAGCTGACATAATACTACTGCAATAGTTGACAGCTGACATAATACTACTGCAATAGTTGACAGCTGACATAATACTACTGCAATAGTTGACAGCTGACATAATACTACTGCAATAGTTGACAGCTGACATAATACTACTGCAATAGTTGACAGCTGACATAATACTACTGCAATAGTTGACAGCTGACATAATACTACTGCAATAGTTGACAGCTGACATAATACTACTACAATAGTTGACAGCCACGACAATACTACTGCAATAGTTGACAGCTGACATAATACTATTGCAATAGTTGACAGCTGACATAATACTACTGCAATAGTTGACAGCTGACATAATACTACTGCAATAGTTGACAGCTGACATAATACCACTGCAATAGTTGACAGCTGACATAATACTACTGCAATAGTTGACAGTTGACATAATACTACTGCAATAGTTGACAGCTGACATAATACTACTGCAATAGTTGACAGCTGACACAATACTACTACAATAGTTGACAGCTGACATAATACTACTGTAATAGTTGACAGCTGACATAATACCATTGCAATAGTTGACAGCTGACATAATACTACTGCAATAGTTGACAGCTTACATAATACTACTGCAATAGTTGACAGCTGACATAATACTACTGCAATAGTTGACAGCTGACATAATACTACTGCAATAGTTGACAGCTGACATAATACTACTGCAATAGTTGACAGCTGACATAATACCACTGCAATAGTTGACAGCTGACATAATACCATTGCAATAGTTGACAGCTGACATAATACTACTGCAATAGTTGACAGCTGACATAATACTACTGCAATAGTTGACAGCTGACATAATACTACTGCAATAGTTGACAACTGACATAATACTACTGCAATAGTTGACAGCTGATATAATACCACTGCAATAGTTGACAGCTGACATAATACTACTGCAATAGTTGACAACTGACATAATACTACTGCAATAGTTGACAGCTGACATAATACTACTGCAATAGTTGACAGCTGACATAATACTACTGCAATAGTTGACAGCCTGACAAAATACTTTTGCAATAGTTGACAACTGACATAATACTACTGCAATAGTTGACAACTGACATAATACTACTGCAATAGTTGACAGCTGATATAATACCACTGCAATAGTTGACAGCTGACATAATACTACTGCAATAGTTGACAACTGACATAATACTACTGCAATAGTTGACAGCTGACATAATACTACTGCAATAGTTGACAGCTGACATAATACTACTGCAATAGTTGACATCTGACAAAATACTTTTGCAATAGTTGACAACTGACATAATACTACTGCAATAGTTGACAACTGACATAATACTACTGCAATAGTTGACAGCTGACATAATACCACTGCAATAGTTGACAGCTGACATAATACCACTGCAATAGTTGACAGCTGACATAATACTACTGCAATAGTTGACAGCTGACATAATACTACTGCAATAGTTGACAGCTGACATAATACTACTGCAATAGTTGACAGCTGACATAATACTACTGCAATAGTTGACAACTGACATAATACTACTGCAATAGTTGACAGCTGACATAATACTACTGCAATAGTTGACAGCTGACATAATACTACTGCAATAGTTGACAGCTGACATAATACCACTGCAATAGTTGACAGCTGACATAATACTACTGCAATAGTTGACAGCTGACATAATACTACTGCAATACACCACAATGTTCTGGCTATAGTCAACAGCTACCACAATTCTGTTGCAAAATTATATGCGACTATTGCAGTATTATCGCAATAGTGTAAAAAGCCCAAATAGTCATCAATAGTCATTCAATTCAAAGACAACATCAATGATAAGACTAATGTATACATTGCTAGGAGCCCAGACTGACAACATTTACACAAGAAAAGAAAACACAGTAACACCAAAATGGGTAAAATTGTACAAAACAGTAACACAGGCACACATTCATTCATCTCAGAAATTTTCCAGAGCTTGTCAAAAATGCCCACGTAAGATCATGAAATCAGACATAGACAATAGATAAAAGATATATCCTAATGTTTTCATCTCGGTCACTTTCCAAGGTTTCAATCAAGTTTTATTCAAAGAAATAAGAAACTTAAAATATTAAACTATTTTTAACATTATTCTGTGATGACTGATCGGTCCCTGCAGAATAACCCTGTCTTGGAGATAGTGATCATAATTCATCCACACTGGGAGGTATGTACTGCTATATCTGTACAATAATATATATACTATTCTCACTTTGATAAGGATCAAATCATGGATTCAACAGAAAACTATGATGTGGGGTCAAATTTGGTTTAAATACCTAACCTTATTGTAAGCATGGATCCTAGGTTTCAGTATGTCTTTGCATCTTGTGGAACCCATACCTGCTATTGACAGGTTCCATGATTTGCAAAATGGATGATTGGTGCCATAAAAACCATTTTTTATGGTTACTCATGTATCAGGTGCATAAGGTGAGATTAAAGTGGCTGTTTGCCTAAAGAGGGGTTACCATATTAATATTTATCCAGTTTTAAATGGATACAATTCCAAATTATGAATCTACATTTAAGTAAAGTTGTGAATATTTGTGATCCTTAGCAAAGTGTGTGTAGCATAAGATGATTTGAATATACAAACAACATAACCAAACAAACAATGAGAAACATGAGACAACTTCAGACTTGCCTCGATTTTCTTTTCCTGTGATTGTGACGTGCATGGTGGAAAGAAGGTGAAAGTGAAGGATTGTGGGTTTATTTCAACGTCATCAGACAGACTGATGACAAATTTAAGTTTCTGTGTCGCTTTTAAGATGAAATTGTGAATTGAGCAACATAAACAGGTCAGTAGATTTCTATACTTACACTCACATGTTAAGAAAGTATTTGAAAGTGTAGTGTTGTCATAAATAAAATAACATAATTGAATCTGTCCTAATGATTCATGGGTATTAATAAAAATTTATTTGCTAAACTTGCCCCTTACAATAGAAATTTAAGTGTATGGAAATTATAATTATTATGAAAGCAATTTCAAAATAATGAAACAAAACACTCTTATTCTGCCCCAAAACTCACACTACAATATAGAAATTTTAAGTGTATGTAAATTTCAATAATGTTTATGAAACAGTTATTACACAATAATGAAACAAACACTCTTATTCTGTCCCAAACTCATAAATCACAACTTACATATACATATAAATAACTAAAACCACATGTCCACAAAAAGAACTGCTTATATCTTCACATGATCAAGCATTCTTGAAAAAAAAAATGACTGCAAAATATGCATCATAAAACATTCTTAGGGCTATGAAATAATTTAAAAACATTTGCAAGAATGAAGAAGAAAAAAGGTTTATTTTGAAATCAGTTGAGATGAAATGATGACATGTAGCAAACATGACAGAACATGTAAACGCGCGCTGGGAGTTGTCTCCCCCTTACTTTCATCTTCGTCCCACTGTGCTGCTGCACTCAAGAAATTGTCATAACATTATTTAAATGCTTCAAAATGCTAACTTTAATTAATGCCGAACCCCCTCCCCAAACAATTGACTTATAACGTGTATGCCATACTCATATCATAACAAACACAGTTACCTAATCTATTTCTCGAATACCAAGGAACGTAGAAAGTGTCTTAGTATCTTCTTATCAGCAGTATGAGTCAGACAAAATGGGTTTCCAATCTAATATTTAATCCTTAACTAGTGGCAACTACATATGCATGTGAAGTTGTGATCTAATTCATTCCTCTAAACTATGACATGCTTTCCTTAACCACCCATCTAACTAAAATACACACACATTTTTCGACACAATATGCAGAACACGAGATCTTTGATTTCTGTTTTGTTTTTGTTTGCATGTTGTTTAATGCTGCACTCAGCAATATTCCAGCTATATGGAAGCAGTCAGTAAAGAAATGAGTCTGGACCAGACAATCCAGTGATCAACATCATGAGCATCAATGTAAATAACGCTACTGGGATACGATGACATGTGACGACCAAGTCAGCAAGCCTGACCACCCGATCCCATTGGTCACCTCTTATGACAAGCATGGGTTGCTGAGGACCAATTGTAACCCCGATCTTCACGGGTAGAACTTTGTTTACTGATCAAGAATTATTCATGAAAATATAACCAGTAATGAATTATCATACATATTTACTACAAGCGGCAATGAGATCACTTAATATCATATATATCATGAACTTCCACATACATGAAGTATTCATGATCCTACACAAAGGTACCTTAGTGAAGACAGTTGTCATACTGTGTTTACTTTCTTCCTAATGCTGTTAATAATCAAAAACCTAATCACAAATACTTTTCATGAATAATCAGTACATCTTTCAGAAGCTTTCAGAATTCCAGAACTGTAGTAGTAATGAACTGTCCAAAGAGATCTCATGATCTGTTCATAAAGTTTGAGCTGTTTTTAACAACATTTTAAGCAGCAACTATGTACTATTTAAGCACTATTCATGATCTGCTTACTTAAAATTCATGAATGATCTCAGCATAGGTAATAAACTGTCTCTGCTTCAAAGATAAACTGTTATTATACAGTTCATGAGTTGTTAATGATATATTCATGAAAATCTATGCAGCAACCAAGAATGTAGTATTCATGACCTTTACATGCAGTATTCATGAACTATTCACATCCTATGCTGGAACCTTGGTTCATATATTCACAAATTTGTTTCATGAATAATGTTCATGATCATTGCCTGTTCATGGTGTTTAACAACCCCACTCTTACCTTCTTGAGCTGAGCCGTGCTGTATTTGAGGGCACCCATGGAATTATCCTTGTCCTCCTCCAGTTTGGCTCGCTGCTTCCACATGTACTCCTCTGTAAAACAGACACTGCAGAATACACAACCCTGACAATGTGACCACATAATATATAACCCACATACTCCTCCTCAGTAAAAAAGACACAGCTGTTTACACAACCTTGTCAATATGGATACAATATACACTGTAAAGCAGACACTGCAGTATACACATGGTGTGGACATGTCATACTAAGCCCTCATGTACTCTGCAATAGGGACTCCTATGTAACAGACACTGCTGATTACATAGCCTTATCAATGTCGACATCATGTACTCCTCTGTAACACTGACACATTGCTGAATAACCTTGTTAAACTAGACACCTCAAACATCACCCAACACATGCTTCCTTAAATATAAGTCACTGTGATATACTCAACCCTGATAATCAGGACACCTTAGATTCCGGCCTACATTTACTACCTGAAGGCAAGGCAGTGTGGTATACACAACCCTGTTAATCAGGACACCTCAGATTCCAGCCTACATTTACTCCATGAAAGGCAGGGCACTGTGGTATACACAACCCTGTTAATCAGGACACCTCAGATTCCAGCCTACATTTACTCCGAGAAAGGCAGGGCAGTGTGGTATACACAACCATGTTAATCAGGACACCTCAGATTCCAGCCTACATTTACTCCGAGAAAGGCAGGGCACTGTGGTATGCACAACCCTGTTAATATGGACATCTCAAAACTAAGCCAGCATGTAATCCTTATAAAACAAAACAATGAAGTTGGGTTGTTGTTTAAGAAAATTCCAGCTATATTGCAGCAGTCTGTAAATAATTACACAAGACAATGGAGACAACATAGCCCCATAACATTATTTCTACTCACCGGTGAGAGCATGCAGCCAGTGCCCTGTGACCACATGTTCAATACGACAATAGCTCTCAAAGGGAATATCATCGCTGTCCTGAAACACAACACTGACTTACAGAATGTGTAACACACAAGTCCGTTTCATGCAAACTAACAGCAGAATCTTATTTCATTTTCCAATATATAGTTGGAAATAAGTGTATATTTTGCTTTCTAATTTTAATAATTAATAAACTTTTGAAAAGCTTTACCATCACTAAAAATAATTTTGCATTAATATCTTATGTTAAGATACAAAGTTAATATCAAATATTTTACTAACTTTATTCTTTGAGTCATTTACTTTTTAGTTACAAGTGAAAAAACAATATGTTATCAAAGCAGGTAAAACATCTGTAATAAAAAATAAAGATTAAAAAAAGATGATGAAATAAACAAAAAAATGAACACATTCTTCCCTCAAACCAAAATAACCAAGATTTAAAAACAAAAGACAAATATTCTTCCCAAGTAGGCTCAAGGTAGACAACTCTTGGTGGTTTGACTGATATAATTGGCCCTAAAACACCACCACCACACCGGTATCAGTATACCAAGTAGCAAAAACACAGAGACATGATGAAGAATTAGTTGAGTCTATATATCCCTTAAGGCTCATCAACTTGATCAAGATTTACATTTCCAGGCAAACTGATTTCTCATTTGTAACTTTATGTTCTCAAGACTGATGACCAGTTTAAGAATTCATATTTTCTGAATATTTTTCTGTTTTTCTCCTAATATGACAATCACCCTGATCACAAATAAATAAATACAAAAAGATATTCCCATAAGACGCATCTTCTCTTCACCATCAGCATAGGAATGATCATTTTTAAATAGTTTTTCTCAATGCTGATATTCACATTGATCATCATAAACAACAAAACGGTTTTTCCATCAAAGAATTTCAAGCATGTTCTCTGCATTGATGCTGTACACACTGGGCAGTGGCACCTGGGTGCTCAGATACCCTTCCTTCAAAAAACATTATTGTGCCGATTTATTTCACAGCTTTCTTCACATCTATGTGTACCCTCCTCCAACCCTTTTCACTTTTGTTTTTTGGTAAATAAAACTCCATAACTCTTTTTAGTACAAACAAATTCATGATCTTGGAGACACAAAATCTCAGTTTATTACAGTCAACAGAAACCAGTTGTCACAGAATAAGAAAAAGCAAAAAAGGCTCACATCTAAACATTTAGTTAGAGAATCCTCAAATGAGCAATCACAATATACGTAATGAATTAGTGAGTGAGTGTTGTTTTATGACACTTTTGGCAATATTCCAGCAATACCATGCCAGAGGAGATCAGAAATGGACCTCACACATTGTACCCATGTGGGGAAACAAACCCAGGTCTTTGGTGAGACAGACCAACACTTTGACCACTAGCCTATCCCACTGCCACTATTGATTTAACTATGATGATAAGTTACTGGTTTGTCACATACATAACCAAGAGTCAAGTACAGGGAACAACAGCACCACTTCAAAGGAATATACAGACGGACAAACTAAGGTTTAAAAAACAACAACAACAACAACAACGCGACAACAAAAATGACAACACAAATGACAAGAAGCAAGCCACAGTGAAAAATATGGTAAAGACTCAATGCCTGTATGCTTTTCTGAATATCAATTTCATTACCAAAGCTCACAGCTACTTGATCAAGAAATTCAAGTCCATGTATTTCTTGAGTGAGTTGGATGTTAGAGCGCTCTTTATAATATTCCAGGAAAGTCATAACTGTGGCCACCAGAAATGGACTTAACACAGTGTACCTATGTGGGAATCGAACCCAGATCAATGACATGAAGAGCAAACACCTTTACCACTCGATTAGTAACCCACTGAGGTAATAGTACATAAAAAAACGATAAAATAAAAATAAAAATAAAATGAAGTGTAAAACATATTTTCCCCTCAACACAAGATGTCACAGAGAAATAAAAAAATAAACATGTATTAAAGTAATAAAAAGCAACATTCCCACAAAAAACAGTTATAGACTGTCAATGGTACACCTACCATAAGCTGTTGATGGAAGGGATAAAACAGATGATAATGTTAATCATTGACAATGAGCACCTAAATGGATGGAATATTGCACTGTCACATATCTGAACATTATACTGGTGAAAAAAGGCATAAACTAAAACCATTTATTACTAAGAAATGGTAAAGAGGAAGATTATTATGTTTGTTTTTTTCAGCTTTGTTAGCAGACATTTATTCAAATATGGTGCCTGAAACAGGTCTGTTACAAAGACAGTTTGAGTAAAGATGTTATCATTTTTTAAATTACTTTGTAAAATACTTAAGTTTTACATTAAAATACACTGATGAAACTGAAAGTTACCATAACAATTTGGTATGTAAAGAAGCATGTATTAAAAGAACACATTGAGTCTGAATATGACTTTGAGTGTGAGCACAGTTGTCACACAAATAGTCTTCAACATTTCCATGGAACAAATGCACATGCAGTTAGAACAATCTTTACACATATCACTAAGTCCACTTTTGTCCTGTTTCATACTGGCAAGGATTATCTCTATCTAACATTGAGAATGATACATGTCAGGGGCGGATACAGCTTTTTGAGAAAGGGTGGGGTGGGGGTACACACTTCATGTTCTCGAGAGTTTCAATGGTCATTTAATATACTTTCAGGACAAAAGGGTGGGGGTGCGCACTCCTGCACCACCCACCACCCCCACCACCCCTCTGGCTCCGCCTATGCATGTAACCATATTTTGATAGGAAAAGATATTTTTGAGATATCAGTTCTTAATAGCTGTCAAACCAGACCAACAAAATTTCTTTTCTTTTAAAAGTTTCCTTAACATTCTAATTGGAAGGCAGTAAAATATATATGCACAAAAAAGTAATATCCTCAGGACTGGTATGAAATCAAATCATGAAGAAACTACTTACAATTATATCATGGACTAAAATGCAATAAAACATGATAAAATGTGATACAATTTGTCTTCGGTAAATTGTTCAATCCCATGCAGAAGTTTTTTTCCTATATTTTACTTCGCAAACCCTGGGGTAAGCTTTTCCATAAAACATGAGTTTAAATAGGTCCCGACAAAAATACATTACATGTGTAATGCGTTACTAAAATCTATAAACTGTATAAACGTGAAAAGAAATTCGTAAACAAAATACAAAGACATTTGGAATATTGTGTCATTAATCATGTACGGCAATCAAATACCACGATCTTCATCACCCATCGTTAAGGGAGCCCGATATAATACCAGGCAATGCAGACACTTTGACAAGAACATCAATAATCATTTTATCAACATTGATTGACAGGGAAACTAACGGCACAATCTGCATTGAATGTCAGGACATTATTGGAGCGCTGCTTTCTCTGTTGTGCTGATATTTGAAAAATGTCAAACACCAGGACTAAACAATTTAGTACATGCATATGATTCCCTAGCAACTAATTTGATATTATATTTTTATTTATTTCCATGTTGTTGATTTTGCTTTTTAAAAATATGCATTAAGCGATATTACTTTCAAAACCTGGCTAAATATGAACATTAGAATCATGTAGGAAATGTTGAGGCATGTAAAAATTTGGAATCATGCCAGACAACGCCAATCCCGTGCACATACCGAAGGTTTAAACAGACATGCAATAATATTACAACATAGGTAATAGAACAATGGTTGCAATTTACTAGTACACATCCAAGTTTTAACCCAACTTTAAATTGCATAAAGAAATGGACCTTGCAAATCTTTTATTCATCTGAATATGGTTTTCATTGAAAATATAACTATTACATACACATGTCTCCATAACATAAAACACGAAATGACATATTTCTCCATGTATACAAGGAAAGGGTTTAATTTTTTTATAAATGACCACAATTACAAATTATATGCGTAATTTATCTGAAATTCTACATAGTTAAAGCCAAGATCAAAGAGGCGAAGCATGATATAATCATCAACAGGTTGTACTGTCCATTGTCATAGAGACCACCACTGTTGGTTAAAGAATTTGCAGGGACAGAGATATCTCAACAGTCCAAATAATCTCAGTCACTGTCCATGTAAATTGTCAAAGTTTAGTGACATTCTGTGAAGACAGCGTCGGTGAAACGACCTTAACGACCAATCAAAAACAACCCTAGTGATGTACGAGGCACCTGTCAATATCGGTTTTCGATCTGACAGCTGTGTCTATAATAAAATCACTTGTTCGATGTTTCAGCAATTTCCAAGGTTTACTACACTCCTAATTTGGAGCTATACCTCTACTTCCATCTCGTCAATAATGTCTGGAGCGAGCAGGATCAAAACGACCGTCCCTGATTACTAGTTTGATGATAAGGGCAAGGCCACACGGTTTGACATGAAACGTAATGGATTAAACCGTGGTATTCATGTTTTAAATATATTTTGTTTGTGTCATAGTTACATTCAATATTCAATCATTTATTACTTGATGTACCTTGTAAGTTATTTACCAAACAAGACAGGTGTTGCTGATAGTCAGGAAAGAAGCTGTAAGAACCAATGACTGTTACACTTGAATAAACATTCGCTAACTCAACTGCATGGCTCTATTTGTGGATTTGTGCCATATACTTAAAAGTTGGCTATTAACTGTAACAATGTCAGATCCATCAAATTTTTATCCCCAATATCTGGCCTTAAACCATTTCAGGACCAAGCTTCTATGAAATATGTAAAAGACCTGTTATTTCTAAAACATTTTTTCCTGCATTGCCGAACTTTAAGCATGCTCACGATACCATTCACAAAATTCACTTACAATGATAATTATGGATAATTACATATATTTTTCATGCATTACTTAAATAAGTAATTTCTTTCCTATCAAATCATTTATTTTCAATAAAAAAAATTAAAAAATGTAACAACGTATAACATCAAGAGCATATCATACCACAGCTAAGATCAGCAAGCTAGTTTACTGCAACTTTCAAGCAAATGTTTCATTGAATCATGCTCTGTTGATCTTCATAATCTCCCTTTCTGAATGTTCCTGATAAAAGCAATGATGGACATGCATCAGCTTCTGTACTTACTTGAATCACAAATCCGGTTGGGAGGGACAACCCACTTATCTAGCCAGGAATTACAACAATTTAGTCCAATGAGCACAATGTTCTTAACACAGGTTCCAGACAAAAAAGAAAAACTTGTAATCTAATTCCAATTTAAGGAAATTTCCATTTCTTAGAACATTGTAGCCAGAGAATTTCGTTCTCTTTCCATAGGCATGTTAAAACCTTTTATCTACTAGGGAATAAAAGCATTTTCTTCCACTTTAACAAGCAGAATTCATCTTTCAGATTCCATGAAAATATACCGATCACCTAAAACCTAAAGACACCTATAAGTCTTTCAGTATTTTACCACATTTTCTGTGAATTTCTTATCATATTGTTCCTTGCTAGAAAATACCTATTCTCTGTGATACAAAACAAATAATGTATGCATGACATGAGATCAATTATGAAGAAAAGCACAGATTCCTACTATTTAGGATAGAGTGGTATCTTAAAGAATTTTGAGGACCATAATAAATTCTTTATCAGATTCTCATTCCTGGTCTTCCAAACGATGGGAGGCATCTCTGTAGGTACCGGTACTTCAGGACCACAGAGCAAACAGATGTGGCAGTGATGAAAATCTAATAAATCATAACAGTTCCAGGCCAAAGTTTGGTGTGTCTTCAACATGTTTAGGGGCTCTGGTGAAACATCATACCCTGTCTTGCTGACTACAGCCCCATCATGAACACCAGTCTAGTCCTTAGCCAGTGTATGAAATAAGCCAAACCCCCAACCAGACATCAGGGCTGGTAATTTCAAAATGTACCAGTCCAAAATGGATTTAACCAGACCAGACACCAAGATATGACTCAGATATATATAACATCTAAATTTTTACCAGACCATCGGGCTGGCTAGCTGTAAATCTAGACCATGCGTCTGAAATCTAACCCATCTCGGGGCAGTCAGACGAGCCGGGCCTTATTTCATACACTGCCGTAACGCTTTACCTCAGTTACCTTTAGGTTATTTCCACAAAGACCATTTCTAAGTTTGGGCCAAGTCATATATTACAGCGATAAGGTTGGAAACAGAATCCACCCTATGAGACATGCACGACGTCTACTCTATCACACCTGTTGGTACACCTGTCACTGGGCAAGACAAACTTCATTATCAAAGTTTAAGTTTGTTTACTACTTTATGAAAATGAAAAGTTGAATTCCACATCATATAACTTACCCTGATAACTGCATGTAACCTGAATACAGTGTTGGGGTCAAGGTAATCTGAGGTCAAGGTCACTTGACTCTTGTCATTCACTGTGAGGTACTTCCGGGTGCACATATGGATGATGCGACACTGCTGTTCCCATTTCAGTACTCCACCTAGTGGCAAAAAATGACAACATCAACAAATGAAGTTAAACATCCTAATGGGGACTTAAAGCCAAATGTTTTACATAATAAGACAATGCTTTAATAAATTGCCAAAACGACCAATCCATTAAAGAGGAAATATGCTAAGCGAGTGAGAGAGAAGTGTTTAATGCCATCCTCGAGATTACTGAACGTACACGTGTAGGCATGCATGTTCAAATGAATGCATGGTTTATGGTGCCAGCCCACTCAGATACCATACTGGGCCCCATTCCTCAATGCAATTGTAGTGCTAGGACAGTTGTAACTCCGACACTTTAACATAGACTTACGACTGTCGTAGCGCTACGATTGCTTTGAGGAACGGGGTTCAGGAGTATATAAAGGCCACCCCTCTCTGACATAGGATACTCACACTCAGCTTGTTTTATCACCATACCACTAAACGTCCACTCTCAAATAAGACTCTACTTCCACTACACCAGAGGGTACTGAACTGTGATTTACACACATTTAAACAAATTTTTATAAAAATTATTATGGTCAAAATGGGGTAATTTATTAATATTTTCCACTGTATTGATTGGACTCTCCTGAAGTTTGATTGTCCAGTAGGTTGCTGCTGAACTGTTATGGAACATGTTACCATGGCTACTCACCTGTGATTGGCCCTTCCTGAAGTTCAATCTGCCAGTAAGTCACTGCTGAGCTGCTGGGGAACATAGTCTTTGGGTTGGCCTGGTCAATTGGACGCATCCTGAGATGAACTGGACAGAAATGAAAACAATGTTACATACAATTAGACTGACTGACTGAGTATAGTTTTATGCCGCTTTTAGCAATATTCCAGCAACATCACGGCGGGGGACACCAGAAATGGGCTTCACACATTGTACCCATGTGGGGATTCGAACACGGGTCTTCGGTGTGACGAGCCAACGCTTTAACCACTAGGCTACCCCACCGCCCCACATACAATTAGAGGATCCAGTAGTTTCAGGTCAACTGTTTGAGGACTTAAACATAAGTGAGAGACATTCCTGTCAGTTAAGCCATGAATTTAATGTAACTCACCATCTTCTGTGAGTTCATGATTAAACAGACCCTCAGCTACGAGGTAGGCTTCCATCTCCTTGTGGTAGAATCTGATGAGATCGCCCACCTGAAACGGTACGTACAATCATACAGGTGCTAGGACACATTTCTTTCAATTTCAAAATATATTATATTGATAGTCCAAGAGGTAAGAGTGAAAAGAAGAATCTGTTTGAATCAGGTCACCTGGCAGGTCGACCATAGATCTGATGGGTTTATATTCCTCTGTCATGAGGAAATACCTTTTCCCTTCTCTACCTCCCATGTTGGTATTGACTGACTGACTGAGTTTGGTTTTACGCCGCTTTTAGCAATATTCCAGCAACATCACGGGGGGGACACCAGAAATGGGCTTCACACATTGTACCCATGTGGGATTCAATGGTCTTCAGCTGACGAAACTGAAACCATTAGAGATGACTGGTGAGTGAGAACTGAACAATGTTAGTGTCTGCAATCATTTTGCAACAATGGTGCTAAGAAACTGAAACTGGCCTTAGAGATGACATCTTGTAATTTGTTCTGCTCTTGAGTAACCTTATCACCCCTTGGAAAACCTCTGGCCCCATCATCGAAACAAACTGAAAGTTTTAACTCAAATTTGGCGTCTGAGTTGGGCAATTTGGTATTGAACAGATGACTTTAATAGAACTCAACTGCATTATTTAAATATAAAAGCTTACTGCAAACAGCTTAAGTAATTGCATCAATGGTGCTCAGATCGTCTACTAACTTTTTGAGCCTAATATGTAGAGATTACTTCATTCTGAAATGCATGTAATCAAATTTGAGTAAAAACTCTAACCCTTGAGTAAGACTTAAATTTGTTTGGTAAACCTCCAGGATGAAAACTTTATTCCTGGATGTGATGAAACACATGCTGTTTGACTACAGTATACAGCTGTCTTCTGGATTGGTTGGTTGGTTGTTGTTTAACGCTGCACTCAGCAGTATTCCAGCTATATGGTGGCAGTCTGTAAATAATCGAGTGATCAACAGTATGAACATCGATCTACGCAATTGGGATACGATGACATGTGTCAACCAAGTCAGCGAGCCTGACCACCCAACCTCGTTTGTCGCCTCTTATGACAAGCATGGGTTACTGAAGACCAATTCTAACCCGGATCTTCACAGGTCTGTCTTCTGGAAACACGAGAAAAGAGGTTCTTACCTTGACCTTGTTCTCATCCTCAGTGGAGGGCTTGTGCTTCCTGTACACGGTGAAGCCGGACTGCCGCACAGACAGGTTCAACTCATAGCTGCATAAACACCGGAGACATTCATCATTACTTCAGAACAACAAACAACAACACCACTTGGTGAAACAACAAAACTGACATGATAACTGAAAAAACCCTAAATACAATGAAAATATTTTTTGCACATATCTTTCATATCCTTATTGTTTTTTGGCAGACTTTTTTCAAATTCTGAAGTAAAATTGTTATCGCCTTGTCAAAAAAATGAATTTTCAAAAACTTCAAAACTCCTATAATGTGATGAAAATATCGAATAATTTCCTTTAGATCTACTAAGTCCATCAAAAAACGAATTTCCTTATATTATGTGTTTTTTTGTGGAATGAATCATGGGTAATATTTAGGTGAATCCCCAACTTAATGAATGTTTTTCTATCTCACCTACTGAAGAGCTCGCTATCCTAGCTAGGATCGGTAGCTCATGATCAAGTTAGGACAAGGATAGGATCATTTCGAGAATGGGTCTAATCCTAACGGTAGGATGTCCTAACTACTGTCTACTTTGGATCTGTCTTAGCTGGGACACTTTCGAGAATAGGGGCCCTGGTCATTAGTTGTTAATAGATGTTGTGACATGTGAGAAAGGTCATGTTTGTCATGTAATCTACTAGTAAGTGCTGATTGGTAGAAACCTAGCTTCCATTCCAGAAATCAGGCCCTGGCTGTATATAATAAAACCAAACCAGTGGTAGACAGCATGAGCATCGATCTACGCAATTGGGATACGATGACATGTGTCAACCAAGTCAGCGAGCCTGACCACCCGATCCCATTAGTCGTCTCTCCCGACAAGTATGGGTTACTGAAGATCAATTCTAACCGGATCTTCACGGCTTTATGAAGAATGAGCTTTCTTGTGTTCTTGCTTATATTTCCCCCAGCATGAATTTTGTGATTTATGAATTCCTGTAAAAATGCAAGATCAGTGAAAATTATTATCTAATGTTCAATGAAACATCAAAACAGTATGAGAAAATAAATCTTTAAAAATGCATGTTTTGACAAATAATGAGTGAAAAATTCTGAGGAGTGAGGAGAATGACATAGAGTGTGTGTTCAGAGGCAACAAGAAACTAACCGACCTATGTGTTGAAATCTAACAAAGAACTAATGCAAACACAGATTCCTGTATTGAAAGTCAACAGGAAACTAATGCTAACACTGAACAAGACACTAACCTAAGAATGGCAAAAAGCAACGAAAAGAGCAAGAAAGTGAATTTGATGTAATTCCAAATTGAGCAGAATTTCCATTAAATCAAGGCCTGTCAACATTTTGCCATGGCAAACCCATCAAGAGAGAGGTAGTCATGGTAACAGAGGACAATGCATAACTAGCAAATCCAGGCATGGGTAAGGGAGACAACTGTACACAGCACACTGTGTTCATACACAATTTGGGATCCCAAGTGTCAAAAATGAAAATGAAATTTTAATAGGACTTAAAAATATACAGACTATAAAAAATGGCATAATTGCCATTCTATTGCCAAAATTTATTGTTAAATGTTCTGAAAAATAGAAAATGATGACAATATAGGACAAGCAAGTTTGAAAGCCTAAATATTTATGATAAAAGCACAGAATATTTTCATATCGGTATAAACAACATGTAATGCATCTACAAGTCTTTGGCAACATGGTTGTGCTGGGCCAGTACAAGGCTTCTGTCCGTGCTGTAGTGTGCAGTGTTTACAGAGGGATGGAGGGACGAAGCATGAACAGTAAGAGACGTACAGTGTAGTCTGAAGACATACACGCTACATACCTCTCCGACACTTTGGTCACGGCACTAACAACAACATGTGTATGTCAGAATAAAGGCACTAATGTCATAATAGCCGATGGCCCTCTCCTACACAACAACAACATTTGTTATGCCAGTATTAATGAAGGGGTATTAACAATGGATTCATTTGGTCTAGTATGTTTTTAAATAAAACTGGCTAGTTTTAGAATTTAATGTTAGGACATCATGATTCCATGAAATGGTAGTGAAAAGGTGTTGTTTTCACAAGTAAGATGACTGGATGAAGGTATAGGGACCTGTGTGGGGACGTCATAAAAAATACATTCCTGAAAATAATCCAGAATTACCACTGAAACCTCACCGACCTTGTTGACCTCATTTAATTCATTGACTTAAAGGGGACTAAGCTTAATGTCTCCAAATTGTCACACGCGTGACAATGTTCAGACAGAAGCTAGAACCAAGTCTTGATGGGGCACAGTGTCCCTTTAAACCCACAGTTCCATGTTATAACAGGTATACTGCACCCCACTCAAACTCGGGGGAACTTGTTTCGGAATGCCCCAGGATTTTAAGTTAGGATTTTTCCCAATATTTGAAGAAATATTATAATGGTAATATTGTCTCCAAGAATATACTAGCAAGTTTCAAAAACAGAGGAAGCAAGATGGATTAATTTTACTGCAAAGCAAAACTATGCACTCAATGCATATTGATGCAGGCAGTTAGTACCGGTAATAAGCATTAGAATATCAACTCTGAAAGAGTCAGTAATAGAAAGTACATGAAGCCTAGACTGAGAAATCCACTATTAGTTACATATATTTTATTCTGTCAGATATGTCATTTTAGGATACACTCATTTCAGCATAATTATACACCAACCAATTGGAAAAGAATACCATTTGTAAAATTGTTGCATATGCATCAAAATTGTCTGCAGAATTTCTGTGACATTTCATTTTGTTCTTCTTAAACCTTCAAAAACTGGTTTGAAAACAAGTACAATACATATCAGGTATTATTGAATTGAATTAATAAAGTGTTCCTAACTTGTTACATTATATTTAGTTCTAAGACAAAGAACCTTTCAAACATTTGCAGTTTCACAGAAAAACCTGTCTGTGGCAGTCTAACTTAAGTATAAATTCTAAACAACCTCTATTAACTGTAAACATTTTTTTGGGAGTTTCTATGATATTGTTTTATATTTGCATTTGAAACAGGGACTTTTTCAAACCAATTCAAGTAACTGAAACAGAGTGTTAACAAATTAATCTTCTGTGTCAGTACTAATGTTATTTTCCAAAGACATGATGTTGGCGCCTCTGCTTCAGAAGCCTTTACATGAAGGAATTGGTCAATGAACTGACCTGTTGTGGTAAACAGAGCTGGCGCCCAGCAGAATCCGACTGACATGTAAGAACTGGCCAGAAGATTTGATGCTGTCCAACACAATCTGGTCATCAATCTGGACCTGAAAATACATCCACAATATCAAATTTTTGCATATCCAGCAGCCATCTTGAAAAAGTTTAATGTCACAATTTTATCTATTTTTCAATCCAAAACATCTTAAAATAAACAGAAAGAGAAACAAAAAACATAGAAATAACCTGTTTGTATTTTCTTTGTGAGATGAGAGGGGTAAAAAACAAACAATCATGTAACAAACACACTAGTGAGTGAGTTTAGTTTTACTCCGCACTCCGCAATATTCCAGCTATATGGCGGCAGTCTGTAAATAATAGAGTCTGGACCAGACAATCCAGTGATCAACAGCAGGAGCATCAATCTGCGCAATGGGGAACCTATGACATGTGTCAACCAAGTCAGCGAGCCTGACCATCCGATCCTGTTAGTCGCCTCTTACGACAAGCATGGGTTGCTGAAGATCAATTCTAGCCTGGATCTTCACGGGTCACAAACACACTAGAGTTCAAGGACACTATACATACCACATCACCCTCAGCCTTGACCTTGTATCTGGGCATGATCCGGAACTGAGCATGTTTGGCATTTCCATGTAACAGGTCAACCTGGAACATCGAACGCATATTTTCTAGACACGAAATAAATCTTATTTAGGGAAAGTTAAAAGATAAATACATTTTAACCCAAAATACAACATATCAAGAAAATACCCATTTAAGCTTCTCAGTAACATTAGACATACTAACTGTGTTGTTTAAAAACTAAGCATTTGGGATACATGTGTATGGCATTTCCTCCTCTGAGAGTTAAATGCAAAAAACAAACAGAACTCATGCATTAAGTATTATACCAATGGGGGAATATACAAACTCACATTTGAATTGTTTATTGTTTCAACCTCAGGTTTAAAAACTTAAGAGCAAAAGAAAACTATAAACACCGAAAGTTGAATGCTACTTTTGAAAAAATACCTAAAAATAGAAATTCCATATTGAAGCTGTAGAGGAGTGGAAGCTCCTAAATTTCATTATTTCAGTGAAGCATCTAGAAATGGCAGCTGAAGAAACCCATCGCAATTAGTTTGCGACATCCTAATGAAAATGTCGGAGATAAAAGGTATTCTCATCAAAATGCTTGAGAACAAAAGTACAAGACTGACTATTACAGTCCCATGTGCCATGAAGTTTGTCCACTTAATTTTCATTTTGTATTTCTGTTAACTGCCCTGAAACTTACCGCCATGTTGTTGCTCTCGGTCTGGGAGGTCTTGGTGGTGCTGACGTGGACATACTTCCCTGTGAACAAGTGGCGCAGCTGAAACAACAACATTGGACAATTCTTGTCTCTTGTTTTTCAGTTTAAAACATGTAGTGCTGTGATGCAACAGAAGTGTGTAGCAGTTGTCTGCCCTTGTCATGTACTATATGCCATAACTTCCTGGCTGACACTCGGTAACCATGGTAACACATGTTGCAGCATATACTATTATTGTCACAAACACTTTCCTGGAGCTGTACTTCAGATTATGCCCATAATTTGCATAGTTTACAAATGCTTTCTTCAAGGTGGGCCAGGTTGTGATTTACACGGTGATTTACAGAGAAATTCACCCAAGCATCTTTGGAGATCAAATATACAGACAAGCTGATAAATGTTCAAATATCAGAGGCTTGCCGAGGACATTATTACTTTTATCAACAAATGTTGATACATTCGAACGTAGAGGAGACAAGGATGAAACAATTCATCATCCAAAAATTATTCTTCCAAATTGTTCTGTTTGTAAACAGCTTCAGAAGCAGAGAATTTAATGATGTCATATTGTCATGGTAACCTATGATGTCACAATGGTAAAGTACTAGAGGGATTAGTTTCATTGTACGGATATCATCCAGGAAATGTACTGATCTCTTGTGGAAGCGGTAATCGGTAAATATGTACTGCTGGGAAACTTAGGACAAATCAAAAGTCCATTGTTTCGCTAAAGACATTTTAAGGACCCTAACGAAAGCTGACACAAGCAAAGTTCACTGATTAACTAAAAGAGGTTACTGTCAATAAACAAAGTATTACAAGTTGTAAAGAATGCAATTGTGATGCAACCTTAGCATTAAGATGCTTTTAATGCACTCATACATAAACTAAAGTAATGTAACATGCCGTTCAGAGTCCCTGCTCCCCATCCATACAATTGGGATAGTTATGGGTTTATAGTGGGACTTTTTGTACCCTTTTAGTCGATTTGGTAAGGGACAATGTATTGGTACTCTACACCCAGCACTGGGATTATTACCAGCATGTCTGTAACAGGGATAACCTTCTTTTATTACATGCTAGGTTTTTTTTTGTAGTTTGTTGATTGTTATTTAACTCTTCCCGGCCTAACTATGTGTGTTGTTACTAAAATATCAACAACAGAAAAATATTTCTTACCACTATAAATCAATTCAAAATTATTAAGATTTTTTTCATTGATTTAATTCAAACTATATCCATTCCCTGAATCCAGAATGGTTCCTGATATTAAAGCCTTGTGAACATGTCTCCCTTGAATGGATGACCTTTGCTGTCTAAACAGTTCATATATTATAAAGACTCCATTGCTGATTAGTTTGTTTGGTGTTTCACAATAAACATGATCAATACATTCTCTCAGTGCCTTGAGTACCTTGTACAAAGGTTTTCAAGCATGTAGGCTTTGCCATACATTGCCATGTCAGGAATCACTGAGGGGCCATCTCAAATTATTTCTCATCCTTATTTTTAACCCACATGAAATCTTACATAAAGTAAGTCCAATCACAATAACACTGTATTTTGAAAGCAAATTGCAGATATAAAGAATCCAATTTCAATATGTGTGTGTCTTATATAAAAGGGTTTATTAAACAATTAATACAATTTCAGTGATTAATTTATGGATTTTGAAATGATCCCCTCTCCTTTCCGTTCCTCACGTACATCTATCAGCATTCTGAAAGGACCCTATCACCATGGTCACCAGAGACACCATGTGATCTTCCAGGTCATCAATCAAGCAATCACTGTCCACGCTAAACACTGACTGTGCCATCTGCTTATAACAGTCTGAGCAGGAAATACGGTCTCACCATGGGGACACACAAACAAAATAAACAGGATAAACAGGTCAAGGTTCTGTAAACAGATACGAAGTACATGTAGTCGTCAGTTCCTGGAACTCATAAAGCTTTTTGTTAAGTCTCGATTAACAGCCTAATTTTAATGGGATCAGTTATTGCCATATATAACAGCGCCAGCCTTCACAACTTTAATAAGGGGAAGTTTTGTAAAAGATGGAATATATTGTTTTGTTACAGCTACAGAGACATGTACACAAGGTGTTTTTTCTCTGAATTTACATGACATCAAACATTTTTCATGTTATTCACATTTCCCATGGGCCTCAGTACGGGTACTGCTGTCAATTGCTCTTCATTGTGCTTCTCCGGGTGGCCCTCAAGGACCAAAAACTGCTCTGTACTCACGCTTATCCATTTCTGCCGTTTCAATAGGGGTAAATGTGATTTGATGTCACATGACCGGAAACTAGCGACATGTGCATGTCAATATTATGTTTATGATACTGTTCATCTGTTATCAATATAAATTGTCATATTCTGATTAGAATTGGTTTTCAGCAACGCATGCTTGTCAGAGGTGACTAACAGGGTCTGGTGGTCAGGCTCGCTGACTTGGTGGGTGCATGTCAATGTATCCTAGATAAAAGCTAATCATCACAATCACTGGATTGTCTAGTCCAGACATGATTATTTACATACTGCTATAATATAGTTGGAATAGTGTTCAAAAGAAACAAAGTGGAAGTTAGCATCTGCACCAGATATCACGTCCCTTGCAATAAAGAAGTTGTCTAACCATAAAACATCATTCCTGTTCATTGTACCAGCTCCTAAATGCCACTCAAAGAAAAAACAGTGTTACAAAAAGAGATTGATTCAAGTCTATGACACCTGCACATTACCCATATACCTCATTACTATGAAGGAACCCAGTCTATGACATCTGCACATAACCTGTATAACTCATTACTATGAAGGAACCCAGCCTATGACACCTGCACATTACCTTTATAACTCATTACTATGAAGGAATCCAGCCTATGACATCTGCACATTACCTGTATAACTCCATTACTATGAAGGAAGGAACCCAGTCTATGACACCTGCACATTACCTGTATAACTCATAACTATGAAGGAACCCAGCCTATTACTATGAAGAAGGAATCCAGTCAGTCTATGACACCTGCACATTACCTGTATAACTCATTACTATGAAGGAACCCAGTCTATGACACCTGCACATTACCTGTATAACTTGTTACTACTATGAAGGAATCCAGTCTATGACACCTGCATATTACCTGTATAACTCTGTATGACATCTGCACATTACCTGAACCCAGCCTATGACACCTGCACATTACCTGTATAGTCTACTCTTACTATGAAGGAACCCAGTCTATGACACCTGCACATTACCTGTATAACTTACCTGTATAACTATGAAGGAACCCAGTTATGACACCTGCACATTACCTGTATAACTCGTTACTATGAAGGAACCCAGCCTATGACACCTGCACATTACCTGTATAACTCGTTACTATGAAGGAACCCAGTCTATGACACCTGCACATTACCTGTATAACTCATTACTATGAAGGAACCCAGTCTATGACACCTGCACATTACCTGTATAACTCGTTACTATGAAGGAACCCAGCCTATGACACCTGCACATTACCTGTATAACTCGTTACTATGAAGGAACCCAGCCTATGACACCTGCACATTACCTGTATAACTCGTTACTATGAAGGAATCCAGTCTATGACACCTGCACATTACCTGTATAACTCGTTACTATGAAGGAATCCAGTCTATCCTGCACCTTGACATTACCTGTATAACTTGTCCATACAGGACCTTCTTGCTCAGCTGCCTCTTCTGTTCCAGCGCATTGTCCTCTTCTTCAGCGTGAGCTGCTATCTGTCAACACATCAATAATTTACACCTGTAATTAGCTCAACAATCAGACACTGAATACAGGTATGAGATTAACCTCCCAACAGATACCTGCTCCATTTATTTAATTATTTATTAATGTGTTTATTTACTTATCTTGTATGGCTAACTGACAGACAATAAGTCTGTCCTATACTGATGACATAAATGGCAGTTATTTATGATTCATATATCACCAGATGCAATGGAATTTGAGATAAACTACAATTTTTCAAATGAAACATCTCTAAATTCCAATAAATATTTTAAATGCTCCATAATCAATATTTTTACAACAATACTGACATTAACACAACATTGCCTTATTAAGACAATGCTTCAAAAACATATTTATAAACTATCATGGTTTAAAAATAAAACAACATAAATTCACAAAACCGTACCAACTACAACTGTAGTACTGTTCCTACATCAGACACTTCTTTGAAAACATGTTACCAAACTATCATGGTTTAAGAATAAAACAAGAAAATTTTATAAAATCATATTAACTAGCACTGTTCCTACATCATAAGAACTCAAATCCATCGGACTTCTCTGCACTGCGATGGCAGGCAAAAGCTCATATTGCTGATGCTTCAACATGTCTATTTCTGACAGACATTAGGAGGCACCAGACACTATGTAATCTCAACGCAGCAACAATATTTGTCTAAATTATTATTCTGTTACCCCTCTGTCCATATAGAAAATGGACCAATAACTTCTCTATTGACTTAAGCAAATCTTTGGCGAAGCTTGTAATATTGTTGTGAAGAAGGTGTAGAGGTCTGTATATGCTGTGATGGAGAGGGTGGGTTGGTTTGGGGGTTGGAGTGGAGGTTTGTGGGTGTATTGGGGAGAGGAGAGGAGTCGTGTGTGTGGGTGTGTGTGTGTGGGTGTGTGCATGCATGTGTGCGTGTGTTTTGGAGGTAATGGGGTCAGGTATGCATCAAAATTAGTTATTTTTCAGCCAAAAGCTACCTGGCTCCCAATGTTTTTCTGTTGATAATCTAAGCAATACAAGCTTTGAAATGCAAAAATTGAGTGAGTGAGTTTGGTTTTACGCCGTTTTAGCAATATTCCAGCAAAATCATGGCGGGGCACACCAGAAATGGGCTTCACACATTGTACCCATGTGGGGAATCGAACCCAGGTCTTCAGTGTAACGAGCAAATGCTTGAACCATCAGGCTACCCCACCAGCCCCCCAAATTTTAAAGTGTAAAAATTGGAAAAAGGGTCTTGCGGGCAACTGGGATGGGTGCAGGTATGGATTACAGGTATTTCATGGGAGTCTGCATGCATCCTGTTTTAAAGTGCTTCCCAGTGTGATAGCATGCTGCAGATTTAACATTTACACCCCATTTTGATTTACCCTCCACCGACAGTCCTTGTTTGAATCCCTCAATAGCCAAGCACCAGGCAGGGGAAAAAAGAAGTACTCCCTTTTAACATCTTTTGGTATAAGTAGATCAAAACAAAGACCTTCCACTCTCCAGGCAGAGGCTCTTCCCACTTGACCAAAGAGATGATTTAGCATGGAAGCAAAATCAATGAGTCAGACCTAAGGGTGAGGTAGCTTGGACAAAGGGCAAGATTATGTGGCCTTTACTTCAGTGAAAAGGGTTTGGGGTTTGGTGTAGAGGTTGTCAGGATGTGAACTTTCCATATTTAGTTATATATGTAACTTTGCCTGTGTTTCTGTGAGAAGGATTGGGGGGTTGTGTAGAGAAGGGGTTTAAGGTTGTGTAGAGAAAGGGGTAGAGGTTGTCAGGCGAAGAACCTACCTTGGCTTGTGCAACAGAGTTTTTGAGGGAGAGGCTTTCTGGATCCTCTTCAGACTTGATGCAAAGTTTGCGATATTTCTTGTTTAGTTTGTATCTGTTGGCAACGCATACTTCAAAAGAAACGACTGAAACAAACAGGGAATAAAATTAGTTAATAATTGTTTCATTATTGCTCTGAATGATGTCACCTATTTCACTGTCTACAGCTTTCTACCAGGTCTTACATTAATACTGCCATAAAAGCAACAACATATTGATTCAGTTCTTTAACATTTAATTCTTGTGACCTCATGCATATATTTCAATCCAATAAATGAAACTGAATTAACAAAACACATAAATTTTAGATTGTCCTTATTTTGCGAATAATGCTTATTGGTAGGTTGGACAATTTTAATATGATATTAAACACAATCTATATTTCTTACTGCTTCTAAAAAGGTTTTCTAACTATCAGAATTTGTTAAAGCTGTTCTCATTGCTCATGTAGTCTAACATATTTTGTATGACCCTAGGTATGGGTCTGAAAAATCTCGGGCCACAATCTTAATGAACCGATATCTGACCAACAATCACTGGTTTCTAGTGTGAGTGAGTGAGTTAGTTTAGTTTTACGCCGCACTCAGCAATATTCCAGCGGCGGTCTGTAAGCAATCGAGTCTGGACCAGACAATCCAGTGATCAACAACATGACCATCGATCTGCACAATTGGGAACCAATGACATGTGTTAACCAAGTCAGCGAGCCTGACCATCCGATCCCGTTAGTCGCCTCTTACATGGTTTCTAGCGTACTCAAGGGACGCACAAATGCGTATATAAACTGACAAGCCTGTAGTTGTCTCATTCACAAATCTCATGCCTGGCACTCAGTCAGTAATGATATTTCATCTGATTTCGGCCTTCAAGGCTGCTCGTCATTGAAGAGTGAAGTCATGCTATATTTGGAATACTATCAACATTCCAATCTCTGTGTGATAATGCTCCACCATGCAATATCACTTTGTATGAAGTTGAGTCACTCCAAGAAGGGAATAACTACAACAGTTCATGTGGTGCAGTCTCTATATAACATGTGTCAGGTTGATATGACCAGTCTGACGAAGGCTAGTTCCTGGCTGTATTTGCACCGCATCACTTTCATGTAGACACATTCTTTTAATCTATTATCAGGAATCAAAGTTAGCTGAAATGTCTTCTGAGAATAAATAAGTTGGGCTTTGCATACGTTCAGCTTAATTCCAGCAATAACACGGCTGGGGACACCAAGAATGGGCTTTACACAGTGTACCCATGTTTGGAATCGAACAGAGTTCTTCGCTGAGACCAGCAAACGCTTCTACCATGAGGCTGCTGTGAATGACCATTTGTTAAACATCCAATATCTTTCATCAGGGCGGGGTAGAATAAGTCACATTTAAAAACTGTTTTTCCCCATATCACGAAAGTTTGAAGTCTCATAAATAAATGCAAAAAAAGCAAAGCAAAGTAAGTCTTAATGGCTCTTGTAGTAAGGGTGTGTGGTGGTTGAAATACTCACTGTGTTGGTCTGGAATTTCTGGTCGAACTCTGTCTTGCCTTGACCCTACTGCTATTTCGGAGTGGAGTGTGCTGGAAAACAAATATAATCTGAATATAAAAAATAGTTCCAAAACCACATGAAACATGGCCCGGGGATAAAAACTATTACTGGGTATTTTACAAGCGCTTCTGTTGGTTACGATCGAAGGGCAGACAACCTAACAAAATGGCCACATAACAAATAGGGAAGGGTTTCAAGGATAACCAATATTATGCTCCTAATGAAACGTTGTGTTCCTCATAATAAAGAAGTTAACATCCATAAAATCCCCTTCCTAATATAAGGCTTACTTCCATCGCTTTAATAGACATTCAAACACCCACCAGAAATTATGCAAAAATCGTATCCAAACACAAATGCGAAATAAGAAAAAAACGATGATGTGAAGCAATAACTCAGTCGCCTCATAGTATCGTGTCGTCATTTAAATGGTATACAAATTAGATTTATGATAAGCAATTTTCCCAAAATGTCAATAAACAGGGACATGTTTGAAACGATAAGGACAATGCCGATTTCAGTTCATTCCCTGTTTTACACTGACAAACTGTTGTTTTTTCACTTCAACGCGATTACGTCCTTTGCATACTGAATTTGATAAACACGGTATCCATCTCCCCAGTAAGTCAGTGTGTAGTAGCTTATTCAGGCCACATCACGTCTTGGTTCTTATAGTAGTTTTACCGTACTAGTACATCGGCATCTCCTATCATTGTTGTGTGGTTTCCAACGTAAGACGCATCTGGACGCATTGAAAAGGGTGCTTTGTTTGTTTGTTCTCTTTTTAAAAAAAAAATAAGATGGCATTTTATCGGGAATTTGAATCTGTTGCAAACTATTGCTTAAAATAAACGAGAATTGCATGTGCTTATTCGCGGGTACCATAGGCCTTTCAGAACACTTTTACATACAGGTAAGAAAATTTGAATTCGGATTTTTCAGAATGACACTTATTTTAAGCATAAATGTTAGGGGTGTTGGGGGCTTCGTAATTTAATTCCATTGGTGTAATGACAATCGATCGATCGATCGAGACATGAGAGAGAGAGAAGAGAGAGAGAGCCGGAGGGAGGAGGGAGGGAGCGGCGGAGGGAGAGAGAGAGAGAGGGGGAGGGACACAGAGAGAGAGAGATAGGGAGGGAGAGAGAGAGAGAGAGTTTCACTGTTTTTTCCTCACATGCGGCTACCTCCCCTACTGTGGTCATAAATACCGCCAAGATGGAAGCCCGGGGAATATGCGCAGTAGACTATTACGCGTCTTCCTTTCATTGTTGTCGCAACTTTTGCAAAACATTTCAGTAATATAATTCAAAGATTTCGTTAAATATAAACAATTAACAACAGAATGGCACTGTGAAAATCCCATATATCAAAACTGAATTGTCACAGACACTTGAGGATAAAATTTAATTGCATGGTTTTCCTATAGAATTACCTATCAACCCCCAAGAGACTTGATGCGGAACTGCTTCAATAGCACCATAGTGGAATGGCAACATACACAACATACAAAAGATAGTTCCATATAATAATTTATTCAAACACAGACGTAATAAGAAACTACACATCACACTTAACAATGACCGTTGTATTGTAATGCACATCATGCCGAACAATGGCCGTAGTATTGAAATGCACATCACGCTTAAACGGCCGTTGTACCGTCTTGGCGTATGCCTTGAAGCCACGACTGACTCAATCCGGGCTCATTTTCCAACTTTATAAGTTGACCTGCACACTTTTCGATTACCCTATCTGAATATAGATCTAGTTTTCGAGTTTGAAAATGCCACCTAATTTCCGCAATCAGCGATCTCGCCACACCGCCGAGCCTTAATGTGGACATTCGGAACTGAACGTCGACGAAGAAACATCCAAATGTCGGATTTTGTTGTCTGGGGATAACGTTTTAAGTCAAAAGTCTAAAATACATCTTTACACAGTCGCATTAATATGCTATGTATTTCACAGATCACGATCACGTAAGTGTTACATTTTCATTAGATAATACTGGGCGGGGGGAGCCTAGTGGTTAAAGCGTTCGCTCGTCACGCAGACAACTCGGGTTCGATTCCCCACTTGGGTATAATGTGTGAAGCCCATTTCTCGTGTCCCCGCCGTGATATTGCTGGAATATTGCTAAAAGCGGCGTAAAACAATATTCACTCACTCATTAAGATAATACGGCTTAATACGCTCTATATCAGTCTTTATAAAGAGACTGACTTTCTGTTGTGTATATTGATATCCGTCCATGTGTATAGTATCTATTTATCCAAAGAATGGATGTCTTCTTTCAGTCACAAGTCAAGCGAGCCGTGCTACCAATCACCCAATTCCCCAGATACCAAGGTCCATATTGAAAATTAATAACTGTATTGCCAAGATCTTGAGAAAGAAGTCTTTGAGAACAAAACCTCAACTGCGTTATTGATTTCGCTGACAAACGTGATATATTAGTCTTTAGAAATAAATATCAATAAGGTATAGAAGTCATGTTGGAGACCATGGAAAGGACTATGAAAACACAAGTCGTATACACACGCAAGATGCAGTTTGTGGCTTGAAACAACAATTATGACTTATTGTTTTAATAGGACTGTAAACACTGACAAAAGGCAGAACGATTGTATAGACAGTGAATTGATGAACGAATACGAATGAAACAATTTATGTCTGATATCGCAAGTATTGGTGTCGTTTTCACGTTATGGATATCTGTTCTGTGATCTTGAACATACCTGTAGGGAAAAAGGCCCTCATAAGACATAAGTAAACAATTTTATGGATAAAAAACATGTGGTTTAATCCTTTTACTGACTGACTGAGTTTGGTTTTACGCCGCTTTTAGCAATATTCCAGCAACATCACGGCATGGTACACAAGAAATGGGCTTCACACATTGTGCCAATGTGGGGATTCGAACCCGGGTCTTCGGCGTGACGAGCGAACGCTTTAACCATTAGGCTACCCCACCGCCCCTTTAATCCTTTTAGAAAGGTATCGATGTATAAATATTCCCATACCGTTATCTTAGTCAAAGCGTTGTAATAAGTTATACGTTGTTACATATACAGATGGTATATTAATTATACAGTATATTCTGTATTTCTATTCACCCTAAATGCTAGAATGACAATCAAAATGCGCGAAAACCACATGCTGTCAGTTGGAGTCAAAGACATAACCAGATAATAATATATTTTCATCAGAAAAAATGTTTCTTGTCTTTTGTATTTGAATATTATGGAAACACGGATATGTTCTCGATTGAAAGTAAAGTTAGTAAGAAGCCAATTACGAACTAGAAAGGGAGATAATTACAACAAATGTCGCCATATGGCGCTGGCTACGTTGCCATGACGTCGTCTTCATTGTCACGACGCCATATTGTGGATACTGACAGATGTCATTTAACTCGTCGACATATTTTCGTTTCCTCGTCACAAGTGAAAGGTTTTACGGTGATGAGACCTTTGCAAATTTCCGGTAAGACCGTGAGGTCATATTTAAACTATCGAGTACTTGTTTCTGTTAAGTTATAATGATGTAAACGTTCAAAACACACATCGCGAAATATTCACATGCACATACGAAATATTCGGTCATGTACTTGATTTATAGTGATGTAGGTTTGGCGTAAACCCTTTCACAATTTGCTGTAGTGATGTAATGATTTAATGGACAATCAAACTCGATGAATTGGTTGATGGGCCTGTCACAATCGTAACTGTATGAATCCATCCTCAGAATATAAGTCACTGGATTGTCTGGCCCAGACTCGATTATATTTAAATATTGCTTAATCAGATTATAAAACAATCAAACTCGATGAATTGGTTGAAAAAACCCGTCACAAAGAAAAAACATGGAAAAACAAACTGTAAAACACAAAACCACACACACAAAAAACATCAGAATATCAGTCACAGAACTGACTGATTGTCTGGCGACCGGGAATTTAGTGCAGACTCAGGGGCATGAGATTGTATATTTCACGGAAAATATGTAACGGAATAAAATATTGTTTAGTACTGTATCTACTCAGAAAGTTATAAAACACAAATCGCTGTGTGGCGCTGCAAAATTGCGTTGCCATGACGTCGTCTTATTGTCACGGCGCCATATTGTGGTAACTGAGCTGTCATTTTACTCGTCACAAAGTTTTGTTTTCTGAACACAATCAAATAGTTTTACGATCATGAGACCCTTCCATCTTTCCGGTAAAACAATGCGGGCATGTTGAATGATACTATTGAGTGTTTGTTTCTCGATAAGCTAAGACTTTACCATTAGTATTCATATTTTCAAAAGAACATATGTTGTATCTCTCGATTTTCACATGAACAATTGTAAAAATATCAGTAATTTAATTAAGACAACTTCAAATCAAATCCAAGCCACCATCCGAAAAAGCCGTCACGTAATAGCGAAAACACTGCCGTCGAAAACCTATGACCCAACGATTTTCTCTGTTTAAATTTTATAAGCATAATAAGCTCAACGAAGAAATTTAAAACAATTATTCCCATTTTCTCGTTTACAGGTGAATGAATCTGAGGTTAAGTTGGTCAAATGTTGAATAAATGTTACCCTGTAAATTAAGTAGCTTGCTGTTACAGGATATACATACATCTGGTATAACATTATTAATCGTCGGATTATATTATTTCAGACGTCAGACGTTTTCGGACGGCAGTGTTTACTCACGCCTTAATAGATTACTTGTGTTATACAGTTACACAGACTTAAGAAATACTGTATTATGGCTTGTTTTGAGTTAGTGAAATATTTTATAGCTGTTTCGGAACTCTTTCGATTAGCGAGAAAACAACGGTAGGAAACACGTTTTATACATATTCATACCAGATCACAAATACCCACGACTGTTACTCCAAACTTCTAATAAGGGTTATTCTTGAACAAAGTACAAGATCTGTATCAAACTTTGCACTGCACCCAAATCTGAAAAGATTCCATGATTGTAAAGTTTTTGGTTGAACACATTGATGTGGGACTACTCCCCGCGTTCAATAGATGTAAATTGTAATAATTCTCAATAAATAACAAATATCAGAATATACTTTGACAATGCACCTCTCCTTTAGACAAAGAAGGTGGTTTGAAAACAATAACATCGGCAGTTTTAAAGTTATTCGTTGAACAAAACATCTTCGGAAGGACAGACAGACTTCCTTGGTATAACTGTACAATTACGGTTGGCAATAATTATTACTTTGAGGCTGTAAACATTTTCACACTTGTTTAGGTAAGAGAGATGTGTCCCAGAGCGTAAACAATCACGCTTTATCCCCACATTAAAGACTTATGTTAGGTCAGGTAAACTATATTCTTTTCGAAAGGGATTGTCTGAGTTTCATTTCAGGTACAGTAGAAAGTAAATAGGAAACGCAATAAAAGCTTTTTAGCCCAAACTCCACCTATACAGCTGTAATACGTCCAACGTGAAAGTGTGCATAGTTGATATAGGACGACGTACATTACATCACTTCGTAGATCCAGTTGGTTGGCTGGGTATTGTTATTACAGGATATTGTTGGTGGGATCGCGATGCCCCAAGGTTCCATTGTACATATACAAATTCAGACTCGGAACATATGTTTCTGGTAATGGATCTATATTGATTCTCATGTTATTGATATTCCTGAGAGTCTTTCCTGGGCAAATAAGTACCTGAAATATATGCAGATAGTTTTTGCCTTTTTGTTGCCACAAATTGAATGAATAGTAAACGGAATTATAGATTTGAGCGCTAAATCAGCAGTGGTTTTATTTGATAGCTTCATAGGGTTGTCCTGGGCCCACTTGCACAAAGCGATCTTAGCGCTACGACTATCTTCAGCCTATGTTGGAGAATGGGAGTTACAATCATTGTAGCGCTAAGATCGCTTTGTGCAAGTGAGCCCTGTTTTGTTTCTCATAATCTTTATGATAACATGATAATTCGTATTTTTATGCATAGGATGGTCTATATTTAAATCAATTTGAATATTTGTACTAAATGAAAACAATGTAGCTAAGTAGAACGTAATGTCAATGTATGCTTGTACTTTAGTTTTTTTCAGGTACACTCCTGACTAAACCGAAATCGAATTTAGCATTCCTAAAGCATCTATTTTCTGAATGATTTATAGTGTCGGCCAGCGATGAGAAGAATACGTTTGGTTTTATTTGGCCTTGTGCAGTTGTCACTGGTATTATTAGAAAATAAACAGTGTATAAAGCACCAAAGGCTTTCTTGTGAGTTATATATTATACATTTTCGTCTGGATTCTATATACAATATAATCTTCCTGCATTTCAACAGATTCTCGTTGGAAGTCCGGTGGGCGACTGTCTGGATCGATTCAGTCTGGCCAGGACATGACCCGGGTAATGACCATTATTATCACGGCGGCTAGATAAATAGATGACTGGGCTTTCGGGTATTCCTCGAGACATACATCCCTGGCTGTCAATAAATGTAATTATGTACAAGATTGTCTGTATATAACAGGGACTGGTTTGTAGTGAACTCCGTAAGTTGATGTCACTTGCTGGGTTTCAGATTGGGTCAATTTCTAGGACATTGATTTACATTCAAACTATCCAGTACATATTTAAAGATTTTATTGAAGTTTGTCCAGTGAAAAGTTACTATAATCATTAGAAGATCCTTATGAAATCACTGCCCTTGGATTTAGACTTGTCAGCACAGTATGCTGTATCCCCGACCGCGTCATACCAAGGTTAAAATATGATGCGGTAGCTTAGTTGTCAATCTCAGTGGGCTGGCACTATGCCAGCTTAGTTCGATTAGTACAAGCAGCCAACATCGATAGTCATGTGTCGAGACGGTGATACAGCTCGACTTCGTAAAAATGCGTTTTCGCGAGTTCGATTCCCCAACATCGATAGTCATGTGTCGAGTGGTTATAAACCCTACTCATTTAACAACTGAAAGGTTTAACCTTTGAACCGGTATTGCTTCAGCAAAGAACAATCTAACGAGTTCGACTGCTGAACATTTGTTTAAAGTATACATCTATTTATGTAAAATGAAATTTACGTCTTTGAAAGAAATATTCCTTTCCATAAAAATGGGTTCGAGAATATCCACATGAACTGGTGAATCCCAAATATATAATTCCTCTTTCTCTCTCATCCTTCTTTAGTTGACCTGTGTCAGCGAGATGCCAGAACAAACGGTCATTGTTGCTGGGGTGAGATCTTTATTCAATCTTTAAACAAATGACTTAGTTTCAATTCTTAAGCACTCCCCTCAAACCAAGACATCGGTTGTATTTTCTGTACTGTGTAGTGTGTACATATAAACTGTAAAGCGGGTTTGGGACATTTCTGTCAGAATAATGAGGACTTTGTTGTGGAGTGAATAAAGTAGTAACAGAAATACTTCAGCAGAACTTCGCATTATGTCAAACGGTTGTATATCCGTTAATATATTATTTCCACACGTTTTGGATTTACTACATTGGAAATCTTGTACTCCGTGAATATATGACAAACCACAATAAGTGTTTTTCCGTAAAGTATACTCAAACGCTCCTCTCTCTCTGATTCAGTCTCCCGTAGCTCTGCCCAAGGTTGTTGGTAAGAAGACCCGACGGGGCAAGAAAGGGGGACGAAAACACAGAAAACGGGTGAGTGGAACTGTCTGTTTATTTTTGTCAAGATTTGGTTTGTGTTGCATTTGCGATCTTGTTGGTTTCTGAACTTTGTCTATAGCTTTGTATTGGTGATTAAACAAGTAGACTGCAAACATGGTCTTGTTGATTTTATACCGATAACAATTGAAAGCAATAGGTAGGTTTTGCATTTATACACTCCTATTAATGCAAACAGTGGACACATATTTTTGTGTGTAAACCTCCTTAGAAGTAGAAAGTATGAAGTCAAATCTTCAATCGACCACTAATGGGAGTAGACTGTACAATTCCTAGCCTTGTTCGTACTGTGGGCTGTCTGTTAACGATGTTCCCTACGCTACAGCTGCAGGAGAAGCTGTTCCTGGAGACACTGGGGGATGAGCGAGTCCAGGACATCAGACGGGGCGTGGAAGGTAAAGTCTACATTGTCACATGGGCCAAACCTGTGTCTTTACTACTCAACATTGATAGGGGTACTGTCACACACACACCTTGTGACAGATCAGTTTCGATCATGAAATGGAACACTCTGTACAAAACCTTTTGTAATATTGTGAAAAGATTTAATGTTAAGAAACACCCAGATTTCCCCAGTCTGAACCATAGCCAGTACTGAATAGTCTATTTACGTTTGACCCTCAACATGTAACCAACTTCATTACATTTAGAATATGACTTTAGCGAATGTTATCAAAGCCCCCAGATTTGTTTATCAACAATAAACAAATAAAAACAAAGGTACAGCATGGGAACCAAGACTTGTGAGGGATTTGCACTGGTCCACGTTTGATGAAGAAATCTGAACACTATGTCTGTTGTTACTCTGATACTCAAAGACAGGCTAAAGTACTGTGGCGTGTGGAACGAGGTCAAATCTGAGCCCCCTTTTCATTCCTATCTTTTTTCTTCTTTTTCTCTCTATTTGATCATGGGATCGAAGTGCCATCTTTAGTTCTGTCCAAGTATTATAACACCTTTTACTTGACCCTGTTCTCTGTTATAACTCCACCAAGCTGAAAATTACAATACCTTAACTTCTTTGAGTGGCACTTTTAGAAATTGGAGAGTCAGATAAGGACAAGCTTTATAGATGAACAACTTCTTTATTCGGGTGATGCGATACGAGAATCTGTATCGAAACGTCTCATCACCTGAATGAAGAAGTTGTTCATCCACTGATTTTGTCATTTTATAATACCTTGATAAATATAAATATATGTTTTATCGTAATACTATCCTGCTTATATTATGTAAGTAATATTGTAACTGTATAAAGACATCCGGCTATCTGAAATACCTTGGCACCTTCCAGCCTAGTGAACAAGGAGGATTCTGTAGAGCTAGTCTGTTCTTAGCGGCATGGTTCGCACGCCGCTGTCGGGATTATACCCTCTGCTTTCTCCGTTACATCTATTTTAACTTTATATAATTTCTCTTTCACTCTGATTTCCGCCTGATCTTTTTATGTTTTGTGTTCGTCTATTTTCTTCTTTTCTGTATCACTTGCTTTACCCTCTCCTTAGCCTTGCACGTGGCCTGTTTGAGTGACGTCAGTGAGGGGGCGGGTCCTCACTTGACCAACACGTCCATCCACGCCAGGTAATACAGACTGCCTCAGGTGTCTTATAATGCAGTGGTTCTCCGTTCTCTTATTGACTTGATGATAATCCATTTGTCTTTGTATCATTACTGCTTACTGCGTGACATGAAAGGTCTCCTTGACAACTATAGGTCTTGTGTTTTCTGTTTATATGTCATAGATGTTGCTTCAAGGATGAAGCGTTATCGTCATGGAAACAAACACCATCTTTACCCATAAACGTGTCTTAGAACATATTACCGGTTCTAGAACTGTAACATCAGACAAGATACTTCGGACTGTAGTTGTAGGTATAAGGCTATTCATGCCACCGTTTGTCCGGGTGAAACTTGACACAATTGATCAGGACAACGCCACCTTCAGGGCAATTCATGGGGAGGTGGTAATTAATATCCAAGGGGATATTGCTTTGTATATGATTCGTGTGTGTGGTACTCGTTAATACGAACTTTATTGGTAATCTTTATAAGACCTATATACTCATCAGAACATTAAAGTTGTTTGAGTGGCATTTTAGAAGTTGAGACGTACAATATATAACAAGTTTTATGGATAACAACTTCTTTATTTTCGTGAGTGCGACGTTTCGATACAGATTCTTGTACCGTTGTCAAGCAAGAGTGATACATGAACTGTAGGAGCTGCATATATATACTGTATATAACAATGAAACAACATAATAGACAAAGGAAACAACATAATTGCCATGATTGGCTAAGCAGATCCACTCCTCCACCAAGCCCAGTCTATTGTATAAACATCGCATCCATTGTATAAACATCTCATTGTAACTACATCTCTGGCTTCCACTCACTATCCTTTATGTACTTACTGGCTTCATCAGCTCACTGCTTAGCCAATCATGGCAATTATGTTGTTTCCTTTGTCTATTATGTTGTTTCATTGTTATATACAGTATATATATGCAGCTCCTACAGTTCATGTATCACTCTTGCTTGACAACGGTACAAGAATCTGTATCGAAACGTCGCACTCACGAAAATAAAGAAGTTGTTATCCATAAAACTTGTTATATATAGAACATTAAAGGCCTGTTGCTGGTGTAATGGTCTGTAAGGGGCCCGGTGATATCAGTCACATGACTACAGCAACATACACACCGGTAACAGGGTCCTGATAACGTGTTAGTCAACTGGAACTACACTATACTGTACGGAATTGTTGACTGAGGCCGACCTATACGTTCTATACATATACGACAAAATGGCGGATCACTTGTGTAAACATATCAGCCAGACCCGGTAAGCACGACCTCGGCCAACAAAACAAGGCCACAGCCGTATTGTCAAACGCGAGTTCTCCTTTAAATACGCTATGATAGAACATTTTCCTTGCAAATAAATGTTACGTTGGTTCATTGTACATATTGGTGTGGGGTCTCTATGCATCATAGATTTGTCACAGTTCTTGTCATATAGCTGAAATATTGCCGTGTTCGGTGTTATGCAACAAACAAAGCCGTTGTTGACTCTACCACGAACCTAGGGGATTAGCTTAGAGAAAAGTGACCAGAAAAGCATGCTAGGCTTTCTGTAGGTCTGTGTCCCGTCAGCATAGGTAACCTAACATGTAGTTAAACACGCTTGAACACATAGAGTAAGGCTTCAAATATATTCACGGCCTCTTTAATCTTTATCCCCGGTAATATTATGCGTTTCTTATCTTCAGTTTGAGAGAACGGGCTGGCAAAGCCAACAAATAATCAAAAGAATACGAATAAAACCCAACTGGTTTTCAATTATTGAGTAACGTATTTTATGCAATTCTAAATGTAAATCACGTGGTAATAGGCTTTAATTGATCTATGATGCAGATTGAGTCACTTTGTTTATGAAACAATTTGTAAATAAACATAGGTGAGGAAATATCAAGCTGACCTGTATTTTCATGAGTGTGCAAGGGTTATAGTATTTTTGTTATCACATCAGGGTATAGATTTGCACATCGGCGTGAAAAAATCAGATAACAAAACTTCGTAATGCAAGAATTCAGGGCTGGCAGGAAATGGGAAAAGTACGGACAGCCTTATAGCCTACTTGTAGACAGTTGTATACAGCATAATAACTAACTATGGTAACTGTTCCCTAGAGTAGTGGGTAACAAGACTGACAGTGTCCGGTCTTACGGGTTTTCATTGTACAGAGTCAGGGCCTCGTTTCACGAAGCTCTCGCAAGCCTAAGTTCTCGTAACTTTTCTCGCAGCGTCGTACCTCCTATGTTACAGTATAGGAAGTACGAATGCTACGAGGAAAGTTACGAGATCTTAGGCTTACGAGAGCTTTGTGAAACGGGGCCCTGTAATGTTTTACTGACGCAAATATTTTTGTATGCACGTGTCTTGTTTCAGCCAAACTGGTAGCGCTGAACAGACTCCTCAGTGCGACTCCACACAGCAACAGGTTGGTCACAGATCACTTCCTCGGGAAATCAAATATATTATTGGACTCAGGTAGAAGGGCAGCGTACTGTAACGTTTGTTTTGATGAACGATTTATCTGACGTAGGGGCCGAAAATTGAATATTCTTACTGAGCCTGAGGATTTTATTGGAAACACTATTTTTGCGATCCGTGAAGCTACACAATTATTTCCAGCCAAAAGATTCGTCCATTGTGCAATATGCATGCCCAACTATGAATTATTATTTGTTATCCCAACCCCATCTAAAAAAACAAAATCGTCGGAACATTGTATAACTCAGACTCTATAATAGCTTCAACCCTTTGAGTCTTCCTTTGACAAGGAAATTAAACGAGGACTACAGTTATATTAGCCTAGCGGTAAAACCTGTTTCATCACAACAATGACTCTTTAACGCTGGTTTACGTTATGTCGGGGAACTAAAGAAGCCGCCGTTGTTTTACAGGTAGCACTCCCCGACGGCTACAGCGCCACCTACAACATCAACGAATATGGATATCATCCAACTGGATGTGGATATGCCACTGACAACTATGCATATGCCCAGAATGGATACGAATATGCCAATGACAACTATGGATATTCTCCGTATGGATATGGATATGACATTGGCAGCTATGGATATGCTCAGTGTGGATACGGACATGGCAGTGACAACTATGGATATTCTCAGTATGGCTATGGATATGGAAATGGTAGCTATGGATATGCTCAGTATGGACACAGATATGGATATTGATATAACAGCCAGATTTCTCAGACTATTCCTCATGGTGCTTTCAATATGGAACGTTTTGGACTCTGCTTTTTGGAACTCGGATTTGATACAAACGAACTTGGATCTCAGTCGAAACTGTTTTTATTGATCACGGTTTTACATTTGTATATCATGTGCCTATGCCTAAAAAATATTTTGGCATTTGTTTTGAAGTTATTGTCTTTTGTTTTTATGATAAATTTTATATCTATGTCAGAACATGTTCATTGTTTTCATTATATGTTATACAGCAATGTTAAAGTAACATGAAAGGAAAGGTGACACCAGATATATGTGTCATTTAATGGCCAATCACCAAACTATAAACCTATATTACAATATTATACTAGATATATGACCGTGGCCTGTAAATTATCGAACTGGGATCAGTACTATGAGCAACACGCAGTGAACAAAATCAACCAGTCTGGCCACCCAATCCCACTGGCTGCTCCTTCAGACCAGCAAGGGTTGCTGGGAAGCCTAGTGGTTAAAGCGTTCGCTCCTCCTTCAGACCAGCAAGGGTTGCTGGGAACATAAAATCCCAGGGGTTCTGTGAACCAGTGACAACATAGAGTAATATGAATCGAAAGCCTCAGGTTACAACGAAATACTGCGAATATTATAGCTTTTACATGTTCAGGAAGCTTCTACAGCTTGTAGCACGGCAAAACAATGCGTCATATATACTGACCACCATAAATAACATGACATTTGTGTTTAGGTGACATTGATAGGGATGTGTATGACATCGGAACACCCACGTGAGACCTACTGTAATGTCACACTCGTCTGACATTTTGGACTTTTAATTTGATAACTACAAACAATTTTTAAACCCTTCCCTTGATTGAAACCGCAGTTAAAACGCTCGCAATGCGGTTGCAATATGTCCCAGTGCTGCTATTAGCATTTGTATTGACGGTAAAGTGAAACATACATTCATTATCTACGATTGGTATTGAATAAAAATGGAATTTTCCTTCGTCATGTTTGGTTGGGAGTATAGAATTACATATAGCATATTGATGAAAATGGAAATGTTGCCAAAACGGGGAAAATAGCAAACTTTATCAAATACAATCTCACAAACTATATGTATGAACATAGTCTGAATGTTGAATGATTTGGGCCCTGAAAGTACTCTAAGTTTATCTTATTAGAATTTGCACTTGTTTTAGTTTTAATAAAGTCAGAACACAGCAAACGCCAAAAGTATCGTGAGACATTAGGGACAGTAATGTGAAAACATCTTGGTCGATTTCTTTGATCGTGTTTTGAATTGAATTCAAACTTAAAAATGGTTCTCAATTGTCAAGACGCCACAAAGTTTCAAGCATCAAGCCCGTCTTTATCTCCCGCCAACCTGGATAAAGAGGAATTTTGTAGCTTACATGTACGTCGACGGCGTTTCTGGAATTTGAATTTTGTTTTCAGATGTCATTTATCATATATTTACTATAAATTTACATTTTGTTTAGCATATATATATACTTGGCAAAGTTATAATATATTTTTACAGAAGAAGATAGTATTTCCTAACATCTCATCCTGTAATTCTCTAACGAAACATTGCGTTCTTCATCACAATGTGGCATAGTCATAAATGAGCATTGTTTAATATATGTTAATAATAATATGTTTTGTAACTTCTCCCTGGCAACAGATATTTGAGAATCTTTTCAGCTGCTTCTAATGCTTCTTCACATCAGGTGATGGGACCCTGTTCTATTTGTTGTCGAATTTACATATTGGCTTGTGTAAAACGGTGCCATAAACAAATCACATAAGCTTGGTGTCGCCGTCCGATCGGTATGAACAGATCATTACCCCCTGTCATCGCACAACACAGTTCTTATTCCTAACACAATATGAAAACATTCAGGGCTAATAATCCCCATCCATCTAGTCTACCTTCAGCTGGGACACAATGGTAATTGACTGTGTTTGAGTACAGAAGATAACTGTTTGGCATTTTTCTCTTTCTGTTCAGAAGGTATGCTTATGATGTTTATCGTGGTGATTGTATTTCAAACATAATGTTCATGTGACACGCTGTTCAGATCAAAGGTGGACAACAGTGCAAAGTTTTCTAAGGCGGTGAAATGTGATAACCAGAGTTGCGTCCCCTGGTTGTGCCAGAATCCGTACATATTGCGACATAAGTCACTTCTGGCCTTTCCTAAGATTGTAGCGGTATAACCAAATTACAATTCAAGACCAACTCGCCTATCATCTATGTGTCACTAGAAAGTTAAAATGAGTGTTCTTATAATATAGCAAGAAGAAGGGGAATTTATACCCACTTATGGTTTGTGTTGGTGTTCTAGTTAATGTCAAAGAAAATAAAGAACACATGCTTCAAGATATAACTGTACCAGCCTACTGCATGTTGCACCAAGGCAGGTACTTTTGTTTAAGTCCTTATCGCCAAAACATACTTCAGCATAAAACTCTGCCACAGTCTGCTACAGGTTGCACGTAGACACGTTCTGTTGCTAGAAACAAAACAACTATATAAACATCTCATCTTTGTAATGAAATTTGCTAGACCATCACACACATTGTCTTTGAGATACCACCGTGCGCGTCTCAGGACATAATGTAACGTACTAACTAACCCGATCCATCTAATGGCGGGAAGTACACACAACTTCATGCATGACTTCCCGAGGACTGTAGTTCCAGATGCTGCGGAACCTCAGATACAGCTGACCAAACTGGTGACCCGTATACGACAGTACGTCGCCGGGACCACCACGTCCACATCACATACAACGTCAAGGCTGCAGATAAACCTTCAGTTTAGTATTTTCTTACGTCAATTTGGATATGAAATATATTTTTATCTTTAGGTCCAAATGTTATACATTCATATTGGTTACCAAATATATTTCATCCCCTTATGTCCAGTGTATTGGGTATTGGGGCGGTGGGGGTAGCCCAGTGGTTCCTCACGCCGAAGACCCAGGTTCGATTCCCCACATGGGTACAATGTGCGAGGCCCATTTCAGGTGTCCCCCGCCTTGATATTGCTGGAAGAGCGGCGTAAAACCAAGCTCACTCACTCTAATGGGTATTTTTACAGCAATACGTCAACATTTGTGCAAATATTTCTGGTTAAAATGCCGTATCACTATTTCCACTTTTCAAGGGTCACAATGTCGCCTGCACGACAAAGCATTTCCTTGAAGCCGCCATATTCCCCAAGGTATGAAAGTACTACTCTGACATATAAAGCATGAACTTTGACATCCAGTTTGTTTAGTGTTTATTGCAGTATTGACAGACAGTACAGTCACACCGACAGCTATTTCACCACAGAAGGGGCAGTGATAATAGGTTCACCTCCACAGTCAGTGGGGAAATGGTCTGTTGTCATTCGCTAACACACTTGGCTTAGACCTTAGTTGGCAGTCAGCTATGAAGAAAAGTGTTTGTGATATTGTCGACTTGAATCAGCACGCTTTAAGCCTGTGTGTTCGTAGTTACCTCGCGTGTAGGAGAATCACGTTTCCTTTGAACAGTGACATTACACACCAGTATGTTTTGGTTATAGAGCATTTACAACTTCAAAGAGATAACGATCCATACATATCAACAACTCGTCAGATTTATCTCTAAAATCTAAATGTTAACCAATATGGCAAAGGAGTTATTACTTTTGTTTTGTTGGGGGTTTCGTAATTTAATTCCACTGTTGTAACGACGAGAGAGAGAGAGAGAGAGAGAGAGAGAGAGAGAGAGAGAGAGAGAGAGAGAGAGAGAGAGAGAGAGAGAGAGAGAGAGAGAGAGAGAGAGAGAGAGAGAGAGAGAGAGAGAGAGAGAGAGAGAGAGAGAGAGAGAGAGTTCTCACATGCGGCTACCTCCTCTACTGGGGTCATAAATACCGCCAAGTTGGAAGCCCGGGGAATATGCGCAGTAAACAGGATGATATGAGTAATGATAATTATAATATGAGAAATGATGATGATGATAATGATGATGCCATGAAGAATGATGATTATATGAGAAATGATGATGGTAATGATGATGAGGGCGGTGGTGGTGACGGTGATGGTGATTTGATTAAGGCGAGCCACAATTGGTGAAATTTGGCATTACCAATGAACGCAACTCAATAAGGCCAACTGTAGCGCAATGGACGAGTGAATGATCAAAGCCAACACACTGAGACCTGTTCTTACTCCACGTCACTAACAATTCACTTTTGGGTATCGTTTTCAAATAACTTCCAAACTTCTAAACATAGTTTGGCTTCGTAATCAAACTTCGTAAGGGTTGCGTAATATGACGGTACACCCATATGTCGAGTAGTCTCCAACAAAAGGAGGCGGGATATACGGGTATCGCCTGCTGTGTTTTCAATGTAAAATGATAGAATATGCAAATCAAATAATAAAACTGTATTCTGCTGTGATGTTATGAAGTTTTATTGTGTTATGAATCACACGTTTGTCTCTAAAAATAGCAGTATTATAGTGGGGTAAAGTAGGATACGACAGTAAGGTCTTTTGTACGTTAATAGCAACCTGTACCCAATGTTCTCGTGGCCACACCTGAAATAAGCGTTATACCACATAGCGTAGAATGCCCAGTATTCGGGAGAAATAGGAATGACCTAATATGGTCGTTTCTGGCAAAGAATATAAACTGAAACATATCATTAAATAGAATATTTTTTCATTGCAAACCTGGAAAACGGCCAACAAAGCGAACGCTACGAGTGTTGCCGGTAAATGTTAAAAATAGGAGAATTACGATCGTTTCGTGGAAAGAAAACTTTGTGGAACGGGTCCTTCTCGAAACACACCCATGTCGGAGAAAAAACAGAATAATTATGATAATAGATTCTTGAAACAGAATCGTGTTTTGAAATTGTTTCTAGAAGGCGTTGTAACATAACGTCCTTGTGTAGTTAGTGCTGGTGTCAGGATGCTCTCGATTTGTGAGAATTTATATTCCTGAGTTGTGTTTTTTCATTCAGGACTGACGTTTAAACATACATATATTTTTATGCCCATGTTCAAGTACT